AACCTCTCACACCATCTCTTATCTATTCCTTCATTTCTCAGATTGTAGAAAACACATTCTACTCTCAATGTCAAACTTGTTGAGGGTGTTGGAGAGGCAACGGAAAGAAAGGGAAGAAACAAGGCGTAGACGTGCTGAAGAAGATCGGGAAGCTGATGAAGAAGAGGAACTACTGCTTGCAGCAGCGGTGTGTATGATGGATCAATCAAGGCAAAACCGTCGTCCTCGTGCCCCGAATGTGGACAGACGTAGGGAGTCTCGGGGTAAGAATCTCATGGAGGATTATTTTATCCCAAATCCGTTATATCCTGCTTCTAAGTTTCGAGAAAGATATAGAATGCAACCACATTTGTTCCAAAAAATCATGCATGATATTTGTAATTACGACACATACTTCATTCAAAAGCATGATGCTGTTGGAGCTTTAGGTCTTATCCCGGAGCAAAAACTGACAGCTGCTTTGCGGATGCTTGCTTATGGGGCATCTGCAGAGCAGGTGGATGAGATTGCAAGGATGGGAAAATCTACTGTCCTAGAGTGCTTGGTGAGATTTTGTGATGCAGTGGAAAATTTGTACACGAGGGAGTACCTTCGCAAACCAACGCCAAGAGACCTGCAACGGCTTCTACAAAAAGGCGAGGCCCGAGGTTTCCCAGGAATGATTGGAAGCATCGATTGTATGCACTGGCAGTGGAAGAACTGCCCTACTGCGTGGCAAGGGGAGTACGGGAATCGGAAGGGCCAAAAAAGTATAATTTTGGAGGCCGTAGCTTCATTCGATTGTTGGGTTTGGCATGCCTTCTTCGGGGTTGCCGGTTCTCAGAATGACCTCAATGTCCTTGGTCAATCCCCAGTGTTCGATGAGGTATTGCGAGGTCATTCCCCCCAGGTGACGTACCAAATCAACAATACCGTTTACTCTGGTGCGTACTACCTTTCCGACGGAATTTATCCTAGGTGGACGACATTCGTGAAAACAATTCCGAATCCCCAATCCGAGAAGGAAAGAAACTTTGCTTCCTTTCAAGAAGGTTACAGGAAAGACGTGGAGAGGTGTTTCGGTATCTTGCAAGCTCGTTGGGCAATTATTAGAGGTGCTGCTCGGATGCTAGATGAGGAGGTGCTGCGGAGTATTATGATGACTTGCATCATCCTTCACAACATGATTGTGGAGGATGAGTATGACTATGATGCTCAAGAGGTGTTTGAACCCGATCCAATGAACACATCGTTGACAAGAATATATGAAAGGCCGATTGGACCAAATGGACTACCACTGGAGCCCGAACCCATACTTCGGGATGGTCAATTCAACAACCCCATGATTGATCGGTATCAAGAAATGCAATCTTCATATGTTCACGAGATACGTCAACGTGACTTGATCGAGCACTTGTGGGAGATCAAAGGCAATCACAATGGATGAAGTCAAGATTAGTGCTTTGTTTGGAATTATGCTTTGTTTTTAATTATGCTTTATTTTGTGTGTGGTTTTTTTTTGGAATTATGCTTTTTATTATTATGCTTTTATGTATGGTTTGTTTTGTGTGTTGTTTGCAATCAATGAAGGTTTTTTTAAATTAATATTTGTTTTGATGCTCAAATGTTTTTAATAAATAGTCATTTAATTTAAGGCTTTTTTGATTGAATAAAAAGGGAACAATTCAACAAATTAAAGGATAAGGGAACAATACAACAAATTAAAGGATAAGGAACAATACAACAAAGTAAAGGATAATACACAATACAACACTTAAAGGTATACACAATACAACAACTTAAAGGATAATACAACAATACAACAATACAACAACCTAATGGTTTTCATCATTTAACCAATCCGTATTGCTAGGTCCGTCGTCATTGAAAAGTTTTTTCCTCATCACATCTCTTCGTCGTACCTTCCAATAAGCCTTTGTTTCGGGAGACATATGGCTCGTATCCATAGCCATGATTTTCATCTCTCTATCCTCTATGTCTTTTTCTTGTGCCATTTGTTGTTGGAGAGCAAATGCTTCCTCTCGTGCCTTGTCCATTTCATCTCTTTTCAAGTCTCTCTCGATTCTTAGTGTGGCGCTCTTAGCTATTTGCTCCAATAATTGTACACAATCATTGCTCGAAGTGGCCCCTCTCTTGGCCTTTGCCGCCTTTCTCCCAATAGGTCTTGGCGGACGTGGCACAAATGGTGACTCCGTTTCCATTGGGGAGTCCAATGGAGAATCGGTTGATGTTGAATCGTGGAGTGGCGTCTCATTCATCACAACCGGCGGACCGGTGGGAATAATTTTGAACCTCGAACAATCCTTCACAATTTCCCAACATTGGAAATGCACGAAACTTTTTTTGCCTTGCCCCATGGCACCGAACCACATTTGTGCTTGTACCATCTATTAAAATAAATAATTGGAAGTGCAAGAAACAAAAATTATTATGCAAGAAAATATAAACTATTTTGAAATGCAAAAATAAAATTGATTATGCAAGAAAATATAGACAAATTAAAGGTGCACCAAGAAAAAAAAATTATGCAAGAAAAACAAATAGAATATGCAATAAAAAAAAAGTGACATTGAATTGATTAAAATGGCAATTATAAATATTTTACCTCATCGGTCAAATTTTGACCGCTTTGAATGTTCGCCTTTGCTTTTGTCAAGGCATTCCTCCATTTCCCTAACTCTTTATTAAGAAGTTTCCATCTACTAGACAACGCCATTTCGGTCCGAATAGAACCCGATCTTTGACAAAATTCTCCATGAATTTTGCTCCACATGTGATGAAACTTCATTTCATTACCCGTGATAGGGTCATGACTAATGTTCACCCAAGATTGACACAACGCAATATCTTCATTCGTTGACCACGAGCCTCCGACTTCAATAGAAGATGCCATTTGTTTTTTTTTATACAAATGGAAAGTAGTAGAAAGAGAGTAAAAAATATTGGAAGGAGAAGAGTTTGTATGGAGAATTGGTGTGGAAGTGAAAAATGTGAGTGGAGATGAACAAAAAAATTGGAAGGAGAAAAGTTTGTATGAAGAATTGGTGTGGAAAGTGAATAATGTGAGTAAAGAGTAAAAAATATGGGATGGAGAAGAAATTGTATGAAGATTTTAGTGTGGAAAGTAAATAAAATGGTTAGGTATTTATAGAGAAAAAATACAGAATTTTTGGGTATTTTTTAAAAAAAAATTCAGATTTTTTTCGATTTTTTTTGCAATTTTTTTAGCCAAAAAAACGAGGACCGTCGGATTTCTGGAAAAATTCCATCGGAGAGTCCCCGTCGCGCCACGTGGCGCCCGCCCGTTGGAGCTGTCAGGGATGACGTCAGCGCTGGCGTCACGCTGACGCCAGCGCACGGTAAGTCAAATTTTTTTACCGTTGGCGCGTGAATTACACGCGCCAACGGTAAAAAAAATATGAATTACCGTGCGCTGGCGTCAGCGTGACGCCAGCGCTGACGTCACCATCTCGGGCTTCAGCCCGGGCAAGATTTGCCCTTGGGCTTCCTCGGGCTCGTGGGACCCGCCATCAAACTGGGCTACGGGCCCTGCGCTGGAGTGAACTCGGGCTGCCTCGGGCAGCCTTTCCCCCCTAGCCCGTGACGCGCTGGAGATGCTCTTAGCAATAGAGGACTCCTGTAAAAGATACTGTTATAAGTTAGTGCCTAATGTCTATTACTACATTAGGCATTGTTTTCAGTCCCTAAAGAATGTAAAAGGGACTGATTGCCCTCAGTTTCTTTTAGTCCATTTTTTAGTAGTGCAAAGACATTTTCTGGTATTTCAAATATTTTCTCAGTATTTTGGTTTATATATATTATATAATAAAGTAAAATGCAGAGAATGATGAAACATTCAAAATATCATAAAATACCTTTGGTTAATGCAAACATTAAAAATTGAAATTATTAACTAAATAAGGATAATATGGTAAATTAATAATTTTTTTCATATTAAAAAAAAAGAAAAAAAAAGAAAGATAATATGTTCTATTTTATGGAACATAACTACCCATGTTATCTTTTCTTAATTCTAAAAATAAAATAAAAAATAAAAAATAAAACCAATTGGCACATGCGCGAGCATGTGTCAAGGGGTTGGTATATATAAAGCAAAAGGCATAGAATGGTAAAACATTCAAAATACCATAAAATGTCATAGGTTAATTCAAACATTAAGAATTAAAATTATTAATTAAATGATGATAATATGGTAAATTCGCATTTTATATTAAAATTAAAATCAGATAATAGCTCCTACTTTTATGGAAGATAACTACCAATATTATCTTTCTTTTTAAAAAAAAAGAAAGGAAAAAAGCAAAGGTAGACTTTGGAAGAAACCAAATGAGATAAATGTTTTAAAAGAAGCCAAAATAGACAAAATTGCCCTTATTTATTTTTGGATTCCCTAAGGAATCCTTTACATTTTGCATGTCTTTGGTTTGAAAATTGAGAGGTTTTTCTGTCTTTTTTGAAAAAGTTTTGGCTTTTTCCAAAAGTGAAATTTTTTGTGTGGCTAAAACCTAAATTTACTAAAAGAAAACCAATTGGCACATGCGTGAGGGGTTAATCTATATATATATAAAGCAAAAGGCAGAGAATGGTGAAACATTCAAAATACCAAAAAATGTCATTGATTAATTCAAATATTAAGAATTGAAATTATTAATTAAATAAGGATAATATGCTAAATTCACATTTTTCCATATTAAAAAAAAATCAGATAATAGGTCATACTTTTGTGGAACATAACTACCCATGTTATTTTTTTTAATCCTTTAAACAATAATTATAAATAAATAAATAAATAACCAATTGACACATGGAGGCTAATATATATATATATATATATATATATATAGATTTTTCATAAAGGATTTTCGCTAGTGTTTGAAAAAATAATAATAATAAAGAACTGGTACTGGTACAGTATTTGGGAACACAAAAAGAAAGGAGAACCTCGAGTAACCTGGTTGTCGATTTCAATCTCTGCAATTATGGCGCTTAATTCACCGACTCGCTGCGCGGCTCCACTGACCCGCTCTGCCCCTCCTCATTCGACTCTCGCTTTCTTCAATCGGACCTTGCTCAGACCGGCATTTTCAACCGAATCCCGGACCGCCAGGCTCGTCTCCGTTCGTTGCCAGACTCTCACTCCGGACGGCTTCCCGTCTAAGCGGCCTGTGGGTTTGGACGAGTCGGAAGCTTCGATCGGGTCGTCGGGCTCTTCATCCACGTCCTCCGCTATTGATTTTCTCACATTGTGCCACAGTCTCAAGGTATGCAGTGATTCTGTTTCTGTTCTATTTGTTTGGTTACCGAGAAAATCAAGGAATATAAAATGAAAGAAAATGTGTAGAATTGTTTGTATATGCGTTCTCTGATTCTAGTAAGTTTTTGTGTGATATTAGGTGTGGGAGCTAACTAGTGAGCAATCTAGTGTAAGAATATTTAGTCAGTGTTGAATTTTCTCAGCAACCAAACAGAGATTAAATGCGTCCTTCCTTGAATTGAACAGCACTGGGTTTGGTGTTTTTTAGTTTATGAATTTGATTCTTGAAGCAATCGTGTCACGGCATGAAACCTACTGTGAAAATCGTGATTCAGAGGTTTTCGCATACAATCTATAGAATAAGTGATTAGTTCATCTCATTGGTTTGACACAAGCATTTTAGTTGTCACTCTGTAAAAGAAGCATCTTTGGATCCCAGCATCTTAAATCAATTGTAGTTATAATAATGCTACGGGAGTGGCTTTGTGTTTCTATCTACGGGTAATGACTCACAGAATCAATGTAATAATTATTGAAACAAATTGGAGGAATTGAATTGGGTTGTGAAAGATGTGACTTACTGGGAAAGGGCTTAGCTTTACAACTATCATATGTATAATGTATCATAATGAAGAACAAGTGCTTACTGGGATATGTATCCATAATGAGGAACGAATGCTTTATCTCAAGTAATAGTAGTGGTCTATAATATGTCTTTGCGATATGGATTTCTGAGAAGATCCATGATATTCATCTCTCTCTTGTAGACCACAAAAAGAAAGGGCTGGATCAATCATGGAATAAAGGGTCCTGAGTCCATTGCTGACCATATGTACCGCATGGCTTTGATGTCTTTGATTGCTGGTGACGTTCCTGGTTTGAACAGAGAAAGGTTGGAGTTTGTAATGCCATGTGTTGGCTTTGATGTCTTTTGATTATACTGATAATTGTTGCGTCACTTTGGTAGTATCTAATTTTCTTTCTTGCCTGCTCTTATTTGAACAGGTGTATCAAGATAGCAATTGTCCATGACATTGCAGAAGGTACCTTTTAGTCCCTTATTCTTTCGCAATTTCTCTACATTATATTTTCAAATGTGCAGTTCAAGGTGAGGCTGTAAGAAGCAGCTTTAGTTGAAATTAATGGACATTAAATTTCAATGCTTTTTTAAGTTTTTGATAGTGATGCTACTTTTTGAAAAAAATATGATCTAGTACGAAAATGGAAAAACTGCACATTAGCATTGTAAGAAAGATAGTATTTAGGAAAAAGTAATAATAACTGAAGTGATACCTGTGCATGTATGTCTCACTAGTTTGAAATGAAGTTTCTGTCAAAAGTGCATGGCTCTTAGTTCACATGGAAATACAATGGAGTGGTATTGGGGTTGATTGGGTAGTTCATAGGGTTTAGTTTTACCAATAAAAATTTCTTAAATATATCATTAGATGTTTTCCTATATTATTACAGAATAAGGATGGCTTGCTATCATTTTACTAATTTTTATTGTGTTGACATTTTAAAGTGTGTGTGCATGTCAAAATTGTCATGTGCAGTGTGTGCATCTGTCTATCTACTAATACATACATGTACATACTTACACACACGCACATACATACATCCATACACACACACACACACACACACACACACCCTATATATATAATGGGGGTTTTTTAATCTGATTGGTTTTTGGACTATTCTTAGCTATTGTTGGAGATATAACACCATCTGATGGCATACCCAAAGCAGAAAAGAGCAGAAGGGAGCAAGCAGCTCTGAATGAAATGTGCATAGTTCTTGGTGGAGGGATGAGGGGTGATCATTAATTCTTATTTTCATGGAATTCTTTGATTATCTAAAAACGTTTATTTTGGAATTGTATTAATTGTAAGTGTTCTTATTTGCAGCTGAAGAGATCAAAGAACTTTGGGCAGAGTATGAAAATAATTCGTCCTTAGAGGCTAATCTTGTGAAAGATTTTGATAAAGTATGTATATGTTGCCATTCACATATAAATGTTACATTAACAGGTTTCAATATTAAGGCATCCAAATGAAATTGCTTAATTCGGTTATCCATGTAATATGGTGATTTATAATGGTTATTTCAATCTCATAGGTTTACTAGACATTATGTACCAGTAAGGGTTCATTTTATTTTGTGTTACTTCTAATGTTGATGGAATTCCAATTTGGTAGCTATGCAGCAGGGACCTGTTTTAAACAATTGCACAAGTTTGTGGCATGTAGAGGAGCAGGACTTATCCTGTTGATAAAATTTGTGATTCTGTAGTCCTAGTTTTGTGCAATATGTTGTCCACGTCCTGTTACAACACAACTTGAGAAGCAGAAATTTACTTACGCATGCTTGTGTGTATGTGCTGTGTACTTGCATGCAGATGTGATTTATGCATGTAGACCTTTCAGAACTTCCACTATTGCTTATGATATTCCTTCTTTTAACATGGTTATGCAACTCTGTTCAGGTTGAAATGATTCTGCAAGCATTGGAATATGAAATAGGTAAAGTGTTTCATTCTTTTGCTGTAACTTTGTTAGCTTTCTTATCTTTCTCTTTTGATATTTTTACACTTGTAACAGAACACGGAAAGGTGCTGGATGAGTTTTTCATTTCTACCGCAGGTAGATTCAACTATTTTGATGTTATCTGAAGTAGAAAAATTTGTGGTTTCTACCTCTTTGTAATTTTGCACTTAATTATCATTCTTTGTTTGCCTTCTTTTTCCCCCAGGGAAATTTCAAACTGAACTAGGAAAGAGTTGGGCAGCTGAGATCATTTCTAGAAGAAATTCACGGGTTGACAAGAGTCATAACTGATTCCCTCATTCAGTAATCATTCGCAGCGAAGCCAAACCTCCTTCTAGAAGTTGGCCGTCCTGTCGCCCAGCTGCATTTTCCTTGGTTCGCCAATTTTTTTCGTCTTCTCACATAAAAAGGAAAACAATGATGTTGTTTCCACAGCACCCAATGGGATCTGCAGTTCGCATCTGTGCAACCAAAGCATGCATCCGTGGAGGCTGAGGTGAAAGAAAAGGTACAAGAACACTCAGCCGGGGTAGTAGGCATGATTCAGTCTTTCTGCTTCAAGCTATTCTAGCATTTCTCATTTTTTTAATTTCCAAATAGTTTAACATTCTCTTTTCATTACCAGAAATAGATCAATTAGATTAGGTATGTCCTGGGTTTTTCTGTCTTAGGGTGAGATGGAGTTTGGTCAGTTTAGGTTTGAATTTTGGATCTGGAGCTTAAGTTAGGTGGATTGGGCTTAAGCCTTGTATTCCTTTTTCTTCAAAGTTTTGGGCACTCTTTTCAGGGTTTTTAAGCCTAACATTATCAATTAATAAGTAGGCCCGTTTCTGTACACAACGCAACAGGGAACGAGGTTCAGTTGGCCTTAAATAAGCTTTAAATAAGCTTTAGGTTAGGTAATTGGGTTTAGTTGGCCTTAAGTAAATATCTACATTGCCCTCCAACCCAACTCAACCTCTATAAATTTAAATGACACGTGGCATCGTTTACAATTATGCAGTGAAAGAATCTGATGAAATCTGAGCCTTTGGATTTCCAACTATGCGCGCGGAGTGGACTTGGGGGCCTACACGTTCAGCTTTTTCTCCAAGTTTAGATGTGTTTCTCTCACTAGATTTCGGCCTTTTGTCGTCTGTCCTATCGGGTGATACTGTGCAAACGTGTGCTTCGAATCTCTGGTTGCTTTTGCTTTTCTTGCCACGACACCTTCTTGATTCTTAACAAATGGTTCCCTTATCCTTTCCAAGAATCAACCCACTTGCCTATTAATTTCATCTATATCCAGATATGATCCATACCAAAACAGGAGAATAATTCTCTTCATATACATATACATATACATATTATAGACTTTTTTTTTCTTTACAAAAAACGATATTAATTATTGCTGGAAAAATGCAGAACTTAAGGTGGTTGAATATGAGGAAATTTTCTCCAGTGAATAAACACAACATTATGCGGAATTGATTTAGAGAGAATCACACGCAACTTATAACATGATGAAAATCCCTGGTTCAATGATATATGACCTCGAATGCAAGAGTTAATTAATCTTAACTGCTTAGACCACTGACACTTTGTGCATGTTATACACTACAAGAAAAGAAAAGAAAAAAGTAGAGAGTTGTAGGCTTTTAGGTCTCGTATGATATGATGTTAGCTTTGAAACAGAGTAATCTCTGAGGATCCACAACAGCAACCCGTGGAGGAGCTTCACGGGCAGCAAGCACACAGCAAAAGATACGAGAATTATTAGACCACATGAGTCCCACCACCACACTCAAATTTTTGCCATTTCTTCAGACACCAGACACGCTCTGTGAAATTAGACCCACTTCATTGCCTGCATGCTACTAATAAATTATAAAAACCCACTTTTGTTTAACAAGCAACAAGATCTCTTAGGCCATGCCGACCCCACCATGCACAAAATTAAACCCACTAATCAATTCTCTGCAGACCAGATTTCTTTAGTCTTGTATGCATATATAATTGTGCTATGATTTGTTCTCTTTTTAAAAGGAAAAGAAGAAAAGAAAAGATTATGCTCTGACTGATGTTGTCTTTGTTCCTATCCAGGATCTATAACATTGCTGAGCTGCTCGATTGCTTTGTGAACAAAATTCTCAATGAAAATAATAATAATAAAAGCATGGTTTAGAGGAGTTTCTTCTTAAAACTAATGGAGTTTTGACACTGATTGTAAGAATGAGCAAGTGTCACTGATTGTAAGTTTCAATAAAAAATAATAATAATATATTTAAAAAAATTGGCAAGTGTCAAAATCACATTGATTGTAAGAATGAGCTCCTCTTTAATTTTAAAGAGCCAAGCTTTTTCCTTTTCGATAAAGAAAAGAAGAGAGAAATAAAGACTAAAATTTAGTTAAAATTTACCAACAAAAAAACAAAGGAAATAGGCAAATGAGCATTTCCATGCTCCAACGGAAGAGGTAGATGGATAGGCAAAATACACATTTTCCTAACAAGGCAAATTGCTTTCTTCATAGTGAAGAGGTATAAGAGGCAAATGGATAGGCAACACGTCATGCCACCTAGGATTTTATAGTACAATTTTGCCTATTTGATTTGCAGACTCCCATTGAGATGCTCTAAGATGGATTTCTTTCTTGACAATAAAGAATGCAGTCAAACTCGTGGCTCCACAAGAAAAAGTCCAAAAGTACACGCGCATGACAGTAAGTGCTTTATTTGTTTATAGTTTTTTTATTGTATTTAAGGACAAAATCAGGTGTTTAAGGACAAAATCAGCATTTAAGGGAGGTGGATATTTTATTAACGTTAATGTTAATTTTCTAATGGAACTATTTTATGGTCTCATCTTATCTTTACAAACGAGTTCATATAACACCCCGCGAAAAGTGAAGTAATTATTCAATATATGTTGTGGGGCTTCTAATATTATTTGATATAATATAATATAATAATACTACACAATTATTAAAATTCGTCCAAAAGTAATTATTTTAACGTAAAATTTTTTAAGATGCTATTTAATAAATTTGAAAATAAACAAGTTGAAAAGGTCCAAATTCTAAAGATTTAAAGAGCGCTGACCAATTTTTCACACTTGCAATTGAGAAGAGCGTTTACGTTTCGTAGGACTAAAATGGACGTCAGAAAAAGCCAACCACACATGGTTATGGATGTCAAATTTATGATTATGATTATGCTTCTTCATTGAATTTCATGGCAATGATTTTTTTTCCAGCAAAAGAAAATATTTATAAAAAAACCCAACAGATTCATTGTCATCAATAAACTCATAATTATTCCTTCTAGTCGTTTTCAGTTTTCACATTGCATAGCGTTTTGGACCCCACAATCCGTGTCCCTGGACCCTGAGTTGAGCTTCCTATGCACAGTTGAGATTGAGAGACTAGAAGTTTCAAGAATCAAAGAGAGAGGCTGCAATTTTGGAGAGACGTTTCTGTTCAGCTATCATTGACGAAGTAAAGGTAAGGCCTTTAGGGATTTTAGCATTTGGGTTTTGTTTTTGTTGCCAATTTTTGGTGGTATAGCTGTTGCTGCTGCATTTGCTCACGTCAAAAGTTTGGACCTTTTGAGTGTTCACATTGGAGAAAGATTGTTGATTGAATTTTGTGCAAATATCTTTAACTATTGAGCTTAGGTATCTGCGTTTCTGCTTGAAAACTTGCTCAGAGTCATCTCTCTGTTATGCTGAAAATCTGTTTGCTGACTTGGGTTTTGCTTTAAACGAGTTCAGTGATCGGGGATTTGCTCCCAGCAGAATATTGTGTTTGGTTGGTGGAGTTTGGTGATGGGGAATTTCAGTTTTGGAAGTTTGGAACTGTTGGTTGGATAAAGACTTGAAATTGGCCTATCATCTATGGGTTTGGCTCAAAATTTTGGCTTTTGTATGGAAAAAACTCTGGATTTTGTGAAAATTTGAAAATTTCATGATAGCTTGAAGATTGTGGTGTACGAGTTATATATGATATCCATCACTGGATTTGGTTCTAAATAGATGGCAACCACATCGCCATCTCCAAACTCATCTCCGTCGGCTGTGCCACCAGCTTCTAATACTACTTCAACACCACCACCACAACCACCCTCAACTATTACACCATCTTCTCAGCCAAGTTTGGATTCACCAGAACCCTCCAACTCAACTACTCAATCTCCACCACCTGTTGTTCCATCAGCTCCTCCTCCAACCACACCATCACCCCCTCCTAATTCATTCCCATCTGTAGCTACGCAATCACCTTCATCGAATGTACCTCCACCAACTTCTAATTCTCCACCCCCCACCATCATCCAATGCACCTCCACCAACTTCTAATTCTCCACCCCAACCATCATCCAGTGCACCTCCACCGACCTCTAATTCTCCACCCCCACCATCATCAAATCCACCAAAAAGTTCACCTTCCCCACCACCACCAACATCTGATCCACCTGCAAGTTCGCCTCCACCACCGCAATCCCGTCCACCAGTGAGTTCACCTCCACCACCATCATCAAAACCACCTGAGAATTCACCTCCACCTCCGTCAAAGCCACCGGAAACTTCACCACCACCACCCCCATCATCAAAGCCACCTGGGAACTCTCCTCCACCTCCATCATCAAAACCACCTGAGAAGTCACCTCCGCCTCCATCATCAAATCCCCCCGAAACTTCACCACCACCATCAAACCCGCCAGAGAACTCACCCCCACCTCCAGCATCCGTGCCACCCAAAAGTTCACCTCCACCACCAGCATCAGTACCTCCTACAAATGCGCCCCCGCCTCCTAGGCTTACTCCTCCCATTCCACCCGGTTCTCAACCAACCCCTTCACCCCCAAATTCTCCTCCAAAGTCATCACCTCCACCACCCTTAAAAAGACTGGCACCACCTTCACCCTCGCATGCTTCTCCACCAGCACCTTCTCAAATTCCAAGTCCACCAACCTCAAACACTTCCAGTCCTAATGCACCACCAAGTTCAAATGCCACAGGTAATGGGGGCCTTGGTACTGGAGGTGTAGTGGCAATTGGTGTAGTGGTTGGGGTAATAGTGCTTAGCCTCATTGGATTGGCTGTATGGTGCTTGAGGAGGCCAAGGAAAAAGATATCTGGAGAAGGTTATGCTATGACATCTCTAGCTTCTTCCCCTAGATCAGGTAACTTATACCATACACAACACAAGTGATTTCTTATTATGCTATTTATTTAATTCCTTTTCCCCTTCTGGTTTCACATTGTTTTTGGCTCTTCACATTCCTAAGGATGAACACTTCAAGTACCAAAATTTGTTTCTTTGAGCTTCCTACTCATGCACATGCTTTATGTTCAATGTTTCTAAATTACAATAAGTTCAATATACTGTTTAGGTATTTATTTAGTTTCATTAAAAATCAGGGTGTCGGTTTAATTGATGGGGTCGTATAAACCATTGTAGATAGATGGTACTTTTTCTGTCCACAAAGTTGAGGCCATTGAAATGAAATAAGAAGGCTTTTGTAACTTGTTTCCAGATTCATCCTTCTTGAAGACACATTCTTCAGCTCCGTTTGTTGCAAGTCATTCTGGCAGTGATTTCATGAATTCTCCACCAGAACCAGCAGGATTAGGCAATTCAAGACCATGGTTTACTTTTGAAGAACTAGATAAGGCGACAAATGGGTTTTCATCTCAGAATCTTTTGGGTGAAGGCGGATTTGGTTCTGTTTATAAGGGATGCCTACCAGATGGGAGAGAGGTGGCAGTAAAACAACTAAAGATTGGTGGGGGTCAGGGTGAGCGAGAATTCAAAGCCGAAGTTGAGATTATTAGTCGCATACACCACCGCCATTTGGTTTCTCTGGTGGGTTACTGCATTTCTGAGAACCGAAGGCTGCTTGTCTATGAATATGTCGCTAATGATACCCTATATTTCCATCTTCATGGTAAATCTATAACCTAGCTTTCAAGAAACAGTTAATGATAATGGTTGAGTATTCTCATGTTTTGCACCTTGCATTTTTCAGGGGAAGGTAGGCCAGTTCTGGAATGGGCAACACGAGTTAAGGTTGCTGCTGGTGCAGCTCGTGGGATTGCTTATCTACATGAAGACTGTAATTATCTACCCTTAGTTTCTGGCTGTTAATTTTCTTAATTTCTGGATTAAATAGTTTGAGGGTGCTTCCATTTCTATAGAATATCAAAGTTTTTTAAACCTGTTTTATATAATTTATCCAGTAAAATGTTTTAAATTTTAGCTTTTATCACCTGATTGAGACACCCTCATACTAGAGTTTGTTGGGTTACATAAGTTTATCTGGAAATTTTGTGTTGACTAAATTTGTTTTATTTTCTTTAATGTCAGGCCATCCTCGAGTTATTCACCGCGATATAAAGTCTTCAAACATTCTTTTAGATAACAACTTTGAAGCTCGGGTACACATAATGTTAACTCAGAGTACATTTCAGTACTTCTCTATTTCAGTTAGATTTTAGCTCATGGTTTCCTTCATATACTTTACAGGTTTCAGATTTTGGACTTGCCAAATTAGCTCTTGATGCGAATACACATATTAGTACACGTGTCATGGGAACTTTTGGGTATGTCAGCAATCTAGTGTTGGTCCATATGATATGCTTACCACTTTTACCGGACTTATTCTTGAGGAATCTTCTAGATTTTAAAAACATACTTTTCATGCCAGATAATGTATTGATTCCTGTTCATTTTCAGATACGTGGCCCCTGAATATGCATCAAGTGGCAAATTGACTGAGAAATCTGACGTTTACTCTTACGGAGTTGTGCTTCTGGAGTTGATTACTGGACGGAAGCCTGTCGATACTTCACAACCCTTGGGAGATGAGAGTCTAGTTGAATGGGTAAACTTAACAGCATCATCTTGTCATACTGAACATATCATAGTCCACACTGTTTATATTGCTTTTACTTCTTTTCAATAAGAAAATTTTGATATTTCCCATCTGATGTTTTGAAGTCTCACTTTATTGACTTAGATCTTCATGGCTGAGGTCGTCAGTTATATAGTATAGTCATTGGGCTCTGGTTCAAAACAAGTACAAATTTTGGTTGTGGTCTAAAATTATATGCTGATTAAGTCATGAAACAGATAGAGAAGACCAGAAACTCTTAATCAACTCTGTTGCAAGTCAAGTACCCATTTTGTTTGTGGTCTAAAATCCTATGTTGATCAAATCATGAAATATGTAGAGAAGACCTGAAACCTTAAGTAACAGTATTTTTTTATCTGCCCCTCATATTTACATAAATTCATGAGAAAGATGTAAACCATTGATGCATAGGAGCCATATATGTGACAATGTATAGAATGAAATAAACCTGTACAGTTAACCAAATGAATTTTCTGGGGTCAAAATCAAGTTTTTGTGACAAGGCAATTTATTTTCCAGGCTCGACCATTATTGAGTTATGCTCTTGATAATGAGGAGTTTGAAGGTGTGGTAGATCCAAGGCTCGGAAAGAACTACATTGAAAGTGAAATGTTCAGAATGATTGAGATTGCTGCTGCTTGTGTGCGGCATTCATCTGCTAAGAGACCACGAATGGGACAGGTAATAAGAAGCTGAAAGTATTTTCTTATGTGACTTATTCATTAAGCTGAAATCATCATTCTTTTGGTTCTTACTGTCCTCAGGTTGTTAGAGCTTTTGATAGTTTGGCTGTTTCCGATTTAACCAATGGAATGAGAGTGGGGGAAAGCGAGGCATTTAACTCGGCACAACAATCAGCTGAAATTAGATTGTTCCGGCGAATGGCATTTGGTAGTCAAAATTACAGTACAGATTTTTTTAGTCAAGATCCATAGTAAATATTGGGAGAGATAGATTCATACTGAATTCCAAGGGTTTTGCCAAATTGAGCTAGATATGGATTGGCTCAGCTGGGAGGACCCTGATCTGTCTGAAACTGAAACTGACTGCATCAGGTTTAGATGTTATACAAGCTTCTGCACGGCTATTTTTTGCCCTTGTAAATTATTTAGCCCATGTATGATCTTGTTGCATCTACCAACATTTATGGTGGTGTTATAAAAGTAATAATTCAATTTTGTTAACCATGGATGCTATTCTTCTCTCTTTCGTTTCCCCTGTTTCACAAATCCATGCGCTATAATTTATATGCAGAACTTTGCCAACATGTTAAAGATGTATTAATCCATTACAAGACTGAAGAGGACTAGCTATGAACAAAGATGTTAACAAAGTTTGGTACAATGTAAGCTTAAGACTTGCAAATATTTAATTAATTTGCAAGTCTTCTTTGAAAGGGAGAGGGAGCTTTCTTTGAAAGTCGAGCTCTGTGACACCTTTATAAGGAAACGCTTAAAGATATCAAAGAAATCTTCCACCAAAAATGTAGAAGCCAAGCAACAACAGCTTTTTATTATATTTTGGATAGCCCCTGTTAGAAGCAACAGTGATGGAAGGCATGACTCGTATACAGCCTTTTTAGCAATCTGCCACATATCATTCCAATTGCTTCACCCTTCCTATTACCTCCCTGGAAGAGAAGGAACTTATTCCTTAACAGCAGGGTCAGGGGTATGATTTCCTTATACTGTTCTCTTTACCACCATCACCCCTTTCCTCCTGACTTTCCCAAGCCATGGAAGATTGTGGCATGGTTGCTGCAGATTGTGTGGTCATTTCATGTTGCTGTCAATGCTTGATCCTGCAAATCACCATCTTCATCTTGTTCAAGCTTCCTTGCAAGCTGATAAAAAAGACAAGAGACTACACCATGAAGAAGCTTCAGCAAAGAAAGAGGAAAGAGATTGTAGTGGAAAGTCAAGGAGAAATAGTACTAGATCCATTCAAGGATGACTTTCTAAGTATTCTTGGAGAGTCCATAAGGCCCATAGAGGCAGGCCATAGTTGCAGATGTTGCATGGAGGAGGTGGACAAGGTGCTGCAGGAGTTATCTCAGAGAGGAGAGTTTGGATTTGGAAGCTTTTGGGGTAGAAGAGAAATGGGTCGTTCCCCAATTCATCATTCAGCAGAAGATGATCAATTTGACAGTAGATTTGTGCAGTTTCAATTGATTGAAATGGTTGGCTCTGTCAGTTATTGATCATAAGTTAACCTAGCTAGCTAGCTGTTGAAATTTGTTGTTTAGATCTTTGTCAAATAGCCATGGATCGATCAACTTGTTGTGGCTTATTCATTTAGTTATGGTTACAGTTTCTGCAATTCATCAAATAGCCATGGATCGATGGATGGATATGAAACATATTCAAGAAGGTGCAGGTTGTCAATTTCAGTACGTAAGTCCAATCCTTTTATTATATATCAAAGACTTGGACACTTATAACTTATCTCACATATAGAATATCTTGACAGAAGCATGTCTAGTAAATGTCAAATAATTATTTTGTCCATTTACTTTGAAATGTCACGCCTACAAGACCACACCATTGTCAACTTTGTTATGATTGGAACGTGGCGTTCTTTAAGAAAAATGTTGTTTGAATCTCGATCTTCACCTTAATTATGCCAACTCCAAATGATTGAAAAACTCATCACAGCCGACCCATGTTCTCAAACAAAATGAAGGTAGTCGGTTAATTAAACTAATTTAATTAATTAATCCTCCGAAGGGTCTGTCCTCGGTTAATTTTTAGGGCTAACCGCGTTAAATTTAATTGAAAACCAAAACCGACCCAAATCAACTCGTACTAAAATAGTAAAACAAAAGCTTTTAAGACCTAAATATGGTTAACAAACAACCCCTAGTAAATAGCATTAGCATTCATTTTTCCCAATGCATAACCACATAGTCAAACATTAATCAACTATAGAGAAAAACGTGTTTTCAGTTTTAATCTTCACAAGAAATTAATCCCGACGATAGCTAGATTTTTGTACTAATTATTTACCCTCTTATCAATAAAATACTATTAGCAATTCTCGAAAAAAAAGGTCTTAAAACAAAAAAACTCAATTAGCCTCGCACAACAACTTTTCACAAGCCAATTACCACTCCACAAAATTTTTTTTTAAAAAACAAACTCAAAACGCCCAAAACGCAATTGGTATCTTATTGATCCCTTGCTTCTTTCTTCTTCTTCTTTGGCCATTACCAGAATGATGGCCGCGCTCGGCTCCGATCAGCTGAAGCAGCTGAAAGACATCTTCATGCGCTTCGACATGGACTCCGACGGCAGCCTCACCCAGCTCGAGCTCGCCGCCCTGCTCCGGTCTCTGGGAGTCAAGCCCACCGGTGACCAGCTCCACGTCCTCCTCGCCAACATGGACGCCAACGGAAACGGCACCGTCGAGTTCGACGAGCTCGTCACCGCCATCTTGCCCGACATGAACGCGGAGATCCTCATCAACCAGGAGCAGCTCACGGAGGTCTTCCGGTCGTTCGATCGCGACGGAAACGGCTACATCACCGCCGCCGAGCTCGCCGGATCCATGGCCAAAATGGGTCACCCGTTGACGTACAGAGAGCTCTCCGATATGATGCAAGAGGCCGACACGAACGGCGATGGCGTGATTAGCTTCAACGAATTCGCGACGATCATGTCTCGGTCTGCCGCCGATTTTCTTGGGGTCTGATCAGGTGTGGCGCGGGTATGATCGTTTGTGGATGGTTTGACTTTTTATCGCTGACTTGTATGTTTTATTTTTTATTTTTTATTTTTGTTATCGGTTTTGTGTTTGTGGGGTTGAGGGGCTTGTCTTGATAATATATATAGGATGGATTTGTTGAAGGAGAAGGAGGAGGAGGATCTGCATAGGAAAGGGGATAATATATATACTGATAAATTTTAATATTGGGACCTGCCCCTCAATCCCTTTAGTGAATTAAGATCAGAATTACCAATTAATTAATCAAAAACCCATCTTGTAAATTTTTGTATAAATAATAATTTATGTTACTAGTAGTTCATGTTTAGGTCCATTTCAATTTCATACCATTTGGGTTGTAATTTGCATATGAATTCTCTCAGGTTATGTTATGAACTTATGATTTGGTCATTTTCTATTCTTTTGTATGTGAACTTGGGTCTCATTCCATGCAATGCACATCAAATCAAAGTAGGAATTTTCTTCTTGAATGAAGGAGGATGGGATTGGTTGAGTTGGTAAGGATCATTCTCTTCGCTATCCATGCCTAAGTTGCTGACAATCACACTTAGTGAGTAATTTGTAAAAATAAAAAATGGGTATGTCATGATCCTGGGATGGGGTAGCCTCCCCTCCCCTAAACTTTTTTCAACAAAAGAAAAACAAGGAGGATGGGGAGCTCCATCTTGGAAAGTGATGAGTTTGTGTGTATAAACATATAGACAGAAATGGATAAAATATTACCCAAATTTCCAAGAGCAGAATTGATCAAAGATGAAAGGGAAAAGGAAAAAATCATGAGAAAGGATCGAAATTTATTATTTTAAAAAAAAACCTAACAATGAATTATTTCACTTTGTATTACATATAATTTGCCAGTAAGAAGTAAACTAAGCATGGTCAGTAATTGCCATGACTCAAAATTTACATAAATTCTCTAAAAGCAACGACCCATCTAACATATGTTGTGCTTCTGTACACAGTCACCTAGCTACCGTACCCTCTCCCCAGGGCCCGCTCCTAGAACAAATTGAACCAAAAAATTTTGTTGTATATATATGTATGTGCAACCCAATCATGTACAAAAGGCAGAGGTTACAAAAACTGGCAGAGATTGATGAAGTGCATTCTCTGAGACCTACTGTACTGTACCAGTACCAAAGAACAAACTTTCAAAAATCACCTACGGTTATGGTGTCTATCTTTTGTACGGCTGGTCCTTGCTGCTAAGCGTGCCGTGAAACCCACGGTGGTTGGCCGCAAGGATCGCTGCCGCACCATATTACAAAATTCAAGGTCATTTGAGTGGCCTTCATACCTTATCCACTGTATCATTCTATGGTACATAGGGAAGAAGCGCATCTGAATTGATGAGTATGTGAAGTACGGGATTAGAGCTGAGATTGGCACGAAGAATGTGATGAGCCAGAAGGAAGGGGCGGGGGCAAGGGCTTCGACGAAGACCTTGTAGGCAGTGGTGGAGACTGAGGGCGACATGGCTCCATATGCCAAGAGAAAAAGATACCATAATGCAACTGAGCCCCATATGAAAAGGTGCTGTATCAAGGTGAAGTAACTAATGGAAAGTGCCATCTGCAAGTTCACAACCCAAACTGTGCAAGTATACATTGTTGCTCCAAGAATGTCCCTCCCTACAGTTTTCCCTTCATTGTTGAAGGCCTGGTGTTCTAGCGCTTTCGTGCAGAAGAAGAAAATAATGACGGCAGTTGTAACACCATTCAGCATCCATCCGAGTATTCTACGCCAGCTGAAGAGAACATTTTGCACCCCTTCTTGGTATAACAGAGGAAACTGCACAACCAAACAGAATAAACAATAAATCCAAAAGATGCAAAAACCAGGCTCAAAATTACGCATGTTAATCTGAACTTAATTTTGCACATTGGCCCGGTGAGCTTACCTTGAGACAAAACCGGGCAGATACATCCTGGTCAAAAACTCCCATAGCGACCACCGGAAATGATGAGAAGAATACATTGTACAGTGACAAAAACCAGTCATTGTATGCGGGCTGTCCAGAGAAGGATGTATTCGCCTCGTATAAGAAGAGAGTAAAACCAAATGCGATGTTCTTGTAGAAGAAGTAGCAAATCTGCAAGGAGAAATTTGTTAATGTCAATTTACCATGACACATAAGTTTTTGCTTGTGATAAATTAAATTTTTTTGTCACATTGTGGAGATTGCATTACCATTGATGAGATCCTTCTGTAACACCAATGCCCATGCACAAGCAGCAGACGCTCCAAATATCGAAATTGTGCAATGGCAATATCACTTGACATGACCGCCTGAATTGAATAATAAGCATGAAAAGTTCATGAGAATAAAAGCATAGAGAAAATACAGCCAAAAAAACAAATTATTCAATAGAACATGTGGAAGAATCTGTAAAATACCTGCATTCCCTCAACACCGCTAATTCCAATCCCAATATCTGCTTCTTGGAGCATTCCCACATCATTGGCTCCATCACCAATAGCTAGTGTCGTTTTCCCGGTTCCAGATTTGACCAGTCTAGTGACCTGTTTCATTTCAACATTTAAAACAAATCAATTCTTAAATCTGATTACCTGAGCATGAAAAGGCAAGAATTCATCCTTATGAAGCTATTGAAATGAAAAAGAAAAACCCATGAGATTGTAATTTGTAAACACACCAGTGCCTTCTGTTTTGGTGATGAACGGCAGCAAATAACAGATGCACAGCCAATCGCAAGATCTAGAAACATTTTCTTTATATCATCCTCCAGAGCATAGGCAAGTGATTTTCCATCAATGATCAATGCAAATGCCTCAGAGGCCCCGCCTGATGCTGTAAGCTGAGCCTTTCCCCTAGTTATCTGATGAAGAACACTTCTTTTTGATGCCTAAAGATGAATCAGCAATATCCTATCAGCATCATATGTACTCTGACTTCAAATGGTTTAAGATAGATTAATGTGCATGTACTCTATTAGGCTATTATGTTGTTCAAGAACACTGTTTTACTTCCTTGAGTATCAAAGCTACAGATTTCATTTTCAATACATAAACTAACTCAACTATATGTATGTTGTTTTACCATGGCGATGGCTTCCTTATCTCTTGTCTTTTCCAACGCTTGGATTTCAGGAGACTCCAAATTGATTATAATTTGCTTCATTCCTTGTCTAAGCAAGCTACAGGCAAACCTGCAGGTTAACAATTTCAGTCAGAGACCTTCGTTAGTAGGAAGAAAAAAAAAGGCCTCACCACAGCCCAAATAATCGATACCCAGAAATCATACCCAATGTTGATGGCAGTCTCCATCTTGTCTCCAGTCAAAACCCAAATCTTAATTCCTGCTTGGGCAAGCTTGTCAATGCAATCAGGAACCTAACCAAAAAACAAAGAAAGAAAGAACATCACTTTGGAATTCAATACCATGTCTACAAAAAAACTTCCATGTTATGCCATCAGTATTTGACTACACACCCCATTTTGGAGTTTGTCCTCAACAGCAGTTGCACCAAGAAGAATTAGATCTCTCTCAATCTTATCTGTTACTTCATCAATCAATGCTTCGCGATCTGCACTAATTGAATTCTTGGCCTTGATAAATTTTTCATTGAATTCTCTGTATACATCTTCCTCAAGTTCACGATAGGCAAGTATCAAGGTCCTCAGCCCTGCATCAGCATACTCATTTAAATGCTCCATGGTCTCTTCTTCAAACCCTGTACCATTTTTGGCAAGCCTCTCAAACATGACACTGGACAGAAAATGAGCTACGCTGGTTAGAAAAGTGCTTTTAAATTGGCAACAGCGAAATTAGGGACAGATTCAAGTTTTGAGACAGTTAATACATACTTGTCAGCACCTTTACAAAGCAATAGTACTTTTCCTTCCTCATTTCTTATAATCACAGACATTCGCTTCCTCGTGCTGTTGAACTCTAAAACATTCAGAAGTGTATATGACCTGCAAAATAGAAGTTACTTGATAAATATAAAAGTGGATATTCCTGGTATAAAAGTGCATGTGAAATCAATGTGGAGGCATTAGGAATCGGGTATCCTGATGAACCCACATCACACCAACGGAAACCAAAGAAGACTGTGGCATACATATTTGAAAGTCCTATTTATGAGAAAAACTAAGAAATATACTAACCTCTCAACTTTCTTGCCAGACACTGGATCCAACTCTCGCAGTGATATGCTTGTTTGCGTCCTTTTGTAGAATTCAAAACCAAGTTCTCTTGCTGCAATCACAAATGCTGCTTCATCAGGAGATTCAGCCTCATACAAAACCTTCCCAGTATCTTCATCAACTTCCGGAATGGCTGTATGACAGATTGCTAATAAACTGAAAAACTTCTGGATGCATTCTGCATGTGGCTCATTAATCCAATTTCCATTCATAATCCTTTCATCTTTAAAATTGAAGCCTTTAATGGGTGGCTTTGTATCAGTAGAATCCTTGACATTGGCCTCTCTGTTTATACTTTCATGAACCAAGGGTGAACCATTTCGCCTACCCATAGCCCTCTCAACCTCTGTATAACCTCGGCCATAAGCTGTCCCTGCCACAGAACACTTAATGAACTCCATTGAATTGCAAGTCAAAGTTCCAGTTTTATCTGAGAGAATTGTGTCAACTTGGCCGAGTTCCTCATTCAAGTTTGAGGTACGGGCATGTGCTGGTTTGTCAGCTTCCTCATAGTACATGTGAATATCTCGATTGATGAAGATGCTCTGAAGAACTTTCACAATTTCTATTGACACATACAAGGAGATGGGAATAAAGTAGCTATACAGCATCAGGGCAGTCAAAAAGTGGTAAACTGCTGCATATGGAGCTTTTTTAGCATCAAAGAAAATTGTAGAATTATCTGGCCTGAGATACCACCTTTTCATGATCCCATTGTTTAAGTCACCTTTGGTTGCAATCCCAAAGAAAATAGATCCCACCATTGCCATAGTAAATAAAACAAAGAACAAAAAGTAGATAATTTTATCCATCTTCTTCTCAATTCTGCTTCTTTTTGAAGGGGGATCAGTAGAATTTTGAATAACCTTTGTGTCGAGACCAGTGAAGATAACAACTCCATATATGTAGTCGGTATTTCGGAGTTTAGAGTCTCTGAGGAGAAGCTGTTGGGGAGAGAGGGGAAACTGTTGCTTTTCAAACTCCATAGTTCCAACAAATGAGTACAAATTTGCATTTGGGTCTTCACATTTAACAACCGCGTTAAAATTGCACAAGTTAGAGTCCTCATGTAAGGATGAAGTTACCTCCAATGCTTGTTTTAACTTTAAATTTGTCTCCCCGTCAAGGTTCATGGTCTCAACATAGCAGATTGCATCATCATAACTAGATGAAAGCAAGAGGAGGTCCGTTGGAAAGAATTCATCCTTTTCTACTTTCACTATATCTCCCACTCTCAGATTCTTCCAAGGAGTATAATCAAAAGCCCCGTTACCTTTATGTACTTTAACTTTTCTATTGTTCACCTCAATATCCTGAAAAGTTATTCCAACTGTAAGATTATATAGCCCTGGGTGACAGTTTACATAAAGAACAAATGATTATTTAAGATGCACAGCAGTCAAATAATTCCGATACAGAATATCTTGAAGAAAGTTTTTAAAATCTAGTTTGATCATCCTCCAAGTCTCAGAGCAATCCTCAGTTAGTTATGGTAAGTCATTGAAAACTGTATCCTAATGTTTGATTTTACACATTCAATGAGGATTCTGAAGGGAAGAGGAAAATGAAAACAACGAAAATACAGAGCCAAACTGGGTAAGCAAAATAGTACCTGCTGTTTTCGACGCCAATCTTCGATACCCTCTTTCACCATGGTCGCCCCAATGACGATAATAAGAGGGATGATGGCACTGACAGCCGTGTATGGAGCCAGAGGAGTGAAGGCTAAAGTTCCAGTGACTAAAAAGTAGAAGTTGGCCACCCTCCTGAACTGTTCAAACAAAGATTTTGGCAAGAAAGTAGCAAGTGTATACTTTGTAGTACTGACATAATTGTCTCCATAATTGCGAATCTCAGCATCAAAACAATCTGGGTCATTGCAGTAAACCACTCTGGAAAATCCTGGTCCCCCAATCTGTGAATGTTCATCCCTCAAAGAAGATTTACCACAAGTGAAAGAATAGATCTTGCTGAAACGCAGCTTTCTCCTTCTGCCACCTCCCCTCATTCTCTCTCTGTCTATGTCCCTCTCACACTACTACAAGCTCTAGCTAACCCCAATACCAAGACCAGCACAAACCCACCTATATAATTTTGAAAACAAGCCTAGTGAAAATAACAGGTAACAGCTACTGCAGCTCCTTGAAAAGCAATTCCTCACTGATAAATACAGCTTGGTTCTTCAAGGACAACAAAAACCCAGTTCCACAACCCCCCAAAAATTCACAAATATTAAACACAGACACCCAAACGAGGGGGGAAAATCCCAGTTTATAAGAACAGAACCCCAGGGAAAGCCCAACAAAAAAAAGTTTCTCAGCCAGAAGCTCAGAACCCCAGTAAAAGAAGAATAAAAAATTTGGTTTAGACAGAGAGAATAATAAATGTATAGAATTTTGAGAGAAAAAAGCTTGAAACAGATAAAACCAGAAAGGCTAACTCTTCAAGGGTAATATAAGCACACAGGTTTCTATTTTGTAATCTAGGCAACTTCGGCACCCAAAAGTGTGAACTTTGTCCCAGAAATCCAACACCAAGAATATGATGAAAATAGAGTATGGAAGAAGCTGGTAAAATAGAGAAAAGGTTTACATGAATATCCGGGTATTTGAAATGGTCTCTACACATGAAGGCTTTGAACGAAGACTTGGATTGGATCTCGCATTTTGACTTATGTTAAGGACGCGCATTCCCTTTTGGGTTTGTTTATAGATTTCCAAATTCAACTGCTTTCCCAGGAAACAAAAGAAGAAGGAAAGGAATGTGTTTGAAATAGATGTTTTCGAAATGAAAAAAAAGAGGGGGCGATAGAGAAGGTCTAGAAGATTGATTTGATTAATGGGATTTGCTTTCTGGGAAAATTGAGTTTCGCGGGAAAGTTATGGGAGCTCATCAATGGTGACTGTTTAATGTCTCTATGTCTCTCTGTCTTTCCCTCTCTATGTGAATTGGTCTTCCTTCTTGTCCCTCTCTCTCAGAAACTTCATGAGAAAAGTCCCAAAAATGAAATACATTAATTTTTCTGATGTAATGATTAATCAGAAGATAATTAATCTATTACATCAGTAAAGCATGAAGAAAGGAGAGAGAGAGAGAGAGGCATGAAAGGAAGACAAATTGGAAGGTTTGTGTCAAGCAAAAAAAAAACTTTCTGTTTCTTTTTTGCTTGACCAGAAATTTGCCACACTTCCCACCTTGATCAAATTGGAAACAGGAAAGTATATAATAAACTTTGAGCAAATTACTGGAAAGTTGGGTTTTTTTCAAGTAATTTTTTTTTAATCGGTTACTTTTTTGTTTTTTTGGGTTTTTTTTAATTGGTTGGAATAAATAAAAAAGCAAAGAAAACTGAACAAAACTGAATTTTTTAAGGAATTTTAAGACACAAGTTAGGGCCAATGTGCGATGTCATGACGGGGCATGGCAACGTGATCGACGGGTCAAACACTCTTACAACCAAGCACTAATGTTCTCCGTCTAACATCACATGCACTTTTCCTTGTCTTTTTTTCTTTTCCTGTTTTTGTTTTTTTTTAAACTCTTGGCACTTTGTCTGATTCAAAGACCAAAAATAAAAGTTTTTTGTTCGTCAATTCAGCAAAATAAATAAAAAACATACAAAACATGGTTTTTGTTTTCGCGTGAAATCTATTAAGGATTCTCATTACCAAATTTTGCTACTCATAAATCAAGCCATGGAAAAGGAGGACTTTGGCATGTATAGCCACCATATACATAACTCATGACAGATATAGCCACGATGACAATTAAGTTTTTCTCTGTAGCTTAATTGTCACCGTGCATTGGTAGGTATGATTTGATTTATTATCAATATATATATATTAGTGTTTTAGTAGTATACGATTTTGCTCTTGCTTTCTAATCAATAGGGAAACAAAACAGTTTTTCAGGCAAATTGTACATTAAGACCACCTAAAATTACTCAATAAACAACCATTTTAAAATTCATGAATATCGTAAACTCACTTAATTGCGTTCAATGATACTTGATCAATATGTAAATTAATTTAAACAACCCAATCTAAAATTCTTGAATATTATAAACTCACTTCATCGTGTTCAATCATACATCATCAAAGCATAAATTAATTTAAACATATTCGGACAAATCGAGATTGAGAAATTTTAGGGGAGATTACGAATCGAACAATCGAAAAAGGAAATAACCAAACCAAATGGTAAGGAATCTAGAATGGTGAATAACAAAAGGTAAATCAAGTATTGAGACATTAGGAACATGATGCATCATTTTCATAAGAAATCTATATAGCCACACAAAATCATACAAGATTAATGAAAATATACACATTTGGGAAATGACCCATAAAAAACGATTGAGGAATATGAAGATGCCAAATCGATTTGGCCTTGGGATAATATAAGCCTGTTTTATGTTAATCTTGTTTAACAACCCATTAACCTAATTTTAGGACTATCAAAGTATTCTTAATTTCTCTTTATAGACACGTGTATTAAGGAGGTGGGCACATGGAATATTTTTGCCACAAAATGGCAGCATGCATGAATTGGGAAAAGAGGCAAAGAAGCCGTCGCGAGCCCGTGAAAGAAACAAAGACACACCTAAAGTTAACTAGCCGTAGCAAAAATCCCTTGTATTTCATCCAAAAGGACCGCGAATTCAATGTACATCTCTATCAAAAATAGTCGTATTATATTTTGCCTAGGGCACTTGGCCAGCAGCATCCACAGCCACAGGTGAGGCTGCCGGGGGGCTCATTGCTCTTCAGCTTATTTAACTAGCAAGAAGTTGTTAGGTACGTACGTACCACATCCAAGTGTCAACTCCATTGTTTTTTATTTTATTTTTATATGGTAACAGTTCTTCATTTTGTTTTACATGCTCGTACAATAGTTTATTTATTTATTTATTTAAAAAAATGATAATTGCTAGGTTCTCAAAATCTATTAGTATAATAGCACAAACGACTTTCCTTTAATCCATAGTTTGACATTGAGCAAACTTTTTCCATTTGTAACCACAAATTAACACGCATATTAATATACAATTTGGAGATAATCACAACGGGAGCCAAAAAGTTTGTATACAAGCAAACACATCCCTCCATTTCCTCCAACAACCATGCATTATGGCATTATGTATATACACGCGTAAGAAATTAATAGGATACAAGAAAAGGTGACCATGCTGCAAAATCTCATCCTTGACGTTGTTATCTTTTAAATAATAAAGGAAAATAATAATAAAAATTACCCAAAGCAAAATCATGCAAAATTGCCTTACCTGAAATGGTCAGTTTCTAACAGCTATTGTCTGAACCCGATTGGAGGGATGCGTATGTAATATTTTTAAGACCCAATCATCATCTGCGTTGACTAGTCAACATATGAGTCTGTTGTTATTAGTTGTACTGTTGTACACATAGACACGGCCGCATAGTGGAATGAGGTATAAGGGAAAAGGAAAAGGCAAAAAAATCTTCCAGGGTATCATTGCTTACGTGTCCCGACGAACATTCATATATAGTGACACGTTTTTGGCACGACTTGGAAAAAGGGGGGCAGTGACCAATCAATCACACACGCACTCTCTCTCTCTCTCTCTCTCTCTCTCTCTCTCTCTCTCTCTCATGAGCCAAAATGAGAAAAGAAAATACACATGCAGAGACAAATACATACATACGTATTACATACTATATATGAATGCTTTTAATATATATATGATCAATTTCCCATATACATGCTATACCTATACGTATGTACGTACATGTTTGACAAGTGAACGGCTTCATCTACCACATATCTACAAATTAAACCATGAAAATGTCAACTTGTCAATGGGGGTATATTGGAAAAATAGATATCTTGAACTTGTTTTGCAAGAAAAATTCCAAGATGAGTTTGTTTCAATTGACCTCAAAGTCAAGCCCCATATTGAGTATGGAATTGGGCATCCATAACCATTCTCACGGTCAAGGTGGTATGGTCAATGAAGTCACCCACCCAATTGGGAATGATGGATCATGGGGGTAACGTTGCTTAAAATTGTAGGACTTAGGACCCTATGGAAATTTCCTTGTAATTAAGTTGCAATGACTTGGGAATTTATTTATTTAATTAGCCGCGTTTTTTTGTCTTCTCTCTATATATATATATATATATTATGCCTAACTAGCATGGAATATTCATAATAATAAATAATAATAATAATAATATAAGCTTCAAGAAATGTAACGTGGAGGAGGAGTAATGAGTTGAAAACCTAATTCAACCTGGTTATTTCTTAATTGCATTGAATTTTGTATGATATGGTGAAGTAGCCAGGGAGGGAGGCCCACTCGGCTCTTGGTGGGTTGGGTCAGTTGGCTGCTGCTGCTCGTGCAAGCCTGGCTGCATGGGTTATGTTCCTCTTCTTACGCTATTCACACACCAATATATATATATATATATATATATATTCGATTAAGAGATCATTCAAATAAGTTTATTTGAGAGACATTTTTTGTAGGGCCTACTTCAGATTGTATTTTACTAATCCAAACCATCTATTTTGTAGATACTCATTCAAAGATCATCTCTATAAAAAATCATTTTGAATTCGATATCATTTGACCACTCAATTGAGTTATTGAAATTTTAGGACTTTCTTAAAGCACCGTGTTTATTGATTTTGTATGACACAATTGGATGTCAAAACGATTTCTGATTTGTCTAATTTTTTGTAAGAATGATCTATGAATGAAGACTTAAAAAATAGATGGTTTGAATCATTAAAACAAAAATTATATGATTCTCTAAAGGGTGTTCCTCAAATAAAATTATTTAAGGAATCACTCAATAGAAGGGGACTGTATGTGAATGTATTTTAAATAATTTTTTGTCTTCTTGATTGAATCAATCATACAAATATATATTGTTAGTTGTAGGGCAGGTGGTTGGCTTGTTGTCGTGCTCCAGAATCTAGATCAATTAGTAGTTGCACTTGTAATTTGAAAAGCTGTTATTGTTCCCTCGAACAAGTTGAGTGGATTATTTTTAAGAAGAGATTGAATTGATGTGCAAAAATGAATAAGCTCCTCAACTTGTTATGTGCTCAATGCTCATGTTGTTTAATATGTATATGTATATGTGGTTGGCAGCCTTTGCGTGCCACCCTCCCTAACTGGCTATCCTATCCCTGTCTAGATAAAGAAAAGAGAAGACTTTTTATAAGGTTTGGACTTTAGTATAGGAAGACATTGTCACGATCAATTAGGGCCCCTGGCACAAAACCAATATTTGCTCCAATTTATGCTCCCGAATCAATTAGGTAAACGTAAATTAGGTCAGTAAATATGTCCATTTGTACACAACTTTGAATTCATTTTTTTGGTAAATTAGATTAATTAGAGTAGTTTAAACTATCGTTTATATACTAAAAATAAATAATTTAATTAAGTGTTAATGTTTTCATTAACTATGCTGTTAATTGAGTACAAATTTGGATCAAGGTCCCAACAAAAATGTTACACTCTTCCAATCCATTTATAACGCCTAGAATAGAAAATAGGAACTGTCAATGTCATGATACATATGGATTACCAATTCAAAGAAAAGAAAATCTTGAAACGCCAAATGTGCTAGTAATAGTCATCTTGAAATGGACTTCCATTAAGGTGACCTACCAACCCGCAAATGCCTTACGTCTTTGTGGATAGAATTAGCGTTACATGTAAACACCAACCCTAGAAATAATTGGCAATTTCCGTACATGGTACCGCTCTAGAATTTGAACAGGTGTAGCAATACTAGTGGCCAACATTTTTATAATTTTGATTTAATATATATATATATATAGTTGCACCATCGGCACAAGCACGATTTAAACAATCATATTATATAAAAATGTTGGTATCATGTGAGTAAGGGGGAGTTGACAATGGATGATATATAATTGAGGAAGTGGTTAATTTTGCATTTGCTTATGGGTCATGTCAGCAGTACATTATACAAATAGGGGAAAGCCAAAGTAGTCAGTTGAAGGTTGCTTTCTTAAATGTAATTAAAAATGGTACAGATCATTGATTTTGTATCCTTTATTTCATGACCGATTGTAATGGATGGGTGATGATACTTTGTCATCATGGTATGATAATTATTTTTCCACCCTCTCCTCAACTCCTTGTAGTATTGATTTGTAAACTTGTCGGCAAAAACATTTTGGTTGGGTTTTTATAAATTTTGTACTTGCAAGTTGAGAAAGTGAAGATTTTATGCTACAAATATCATCATATGATACTGAAATATGATTGCCAAAAGTTTGCATCTTTATCTTTGTTGTTTACACAGCCATTCACTATTACAATACTCAAATAGGCAACGGGGTCTACTTTAGTGGAAAAAAGACTTGACTTGCAGACTAGTGATCTTAAGTTCGAATTTCCACGGCACTGTGGTAGTATGATAATAATGTAGCAACTTTGAAGCAAGAGATTGGGTTTTTTTTTGGTTGGTGAGAAATTAGTGTCCAAAAAGCATTAAGCCCACCCCAATCCACATTGGTTTCTATCCAGTTTTCGGTCCAAAAGGCACTTGGCCCAAATATGTATTTGAGCCCAAAATGACAGAGTTTGTGTACCCGGTGAGTGAACTCAACTCAAGTTGGTAGTTCTGTTCTGCTCTATCAGAGAAAAAGAAAAAGAAAAAAGTTTCTGATTCCATGATTTTCCAGTTTAGCGATCTGATCTTTGACAAAGACCACATCTTTCTTCACTCAGAGCCTCGCTGTCAAGAACCCTCCAAAACCCACTTCTCAATTCAAAGGTAAGCCTCTTCCTCCTTTGTCTCTCCCGCGCTCTCTCTTCACCGGTAGAAATGCAGAACACATATTTTAGCTCAAGTATGTACTCTGTTAGAACTCAAGGGTCTCTTTCTTATTCTTTCAATGACTATTCGTACTTACTGAATGAAAGATTTGACAGAAACCCAATTCATTCATCAACATTATCATCATCAAAATCATGTTGTTGTACTTGTTGTGCATTTTCAACTCATAGAGTGCCCATAAACCCTTGTTACTTGTATGGGTTGAGGCAATCCACCCTGCTTCAATGGTCAGCTTGCAGAAGGTTGATCTTGGGCGGCAGGGACCGGTACAATTACCGGGTTCAGGAACAGAGTCCTGACTGGGGTTGTTATGAGCTCCCTTGCTCCCTTATGGAGGGGAGTGTTTATAGTAGACGTGGTAGAAGAAGAAAAGGAAGATGTTGTTGTATGGCTGATGGGGAAGGAAAGGGTGAACTTTACAATTCGGGCGATCTCGATGATGCCGAGGCTATGCTCAGTTTGTTGAGTGAGGAAGTGGGCGAGGAGTGTTTTCGTAGAGAGAGAAATGGGTTTTCATTTAAGATAGTAGAACTGGAGGGTAGGAGGCGTTTGAGTGGTAGAGAGAGAAATGTGAGTTCATCTAAGAGAGTAGAAGAGGAGAGTAAGAGGAGTTTGAGTGGTAGTGAGAGAAAAGTGAATTCATCGAAGAGAGTAGAAGAGGAGAGTAGGAGGAGTTTGAGTGGTAGAGAGAGAAATGCGATTTCATCTAAGAGAGTAGAAGAGGAGAGTAGGAGGAGTTTGAGTGGTAGTGAGAGAAAAGTGAATTCATCGAAGAGATTAGAAGTGGAGAGTAGGAGGAGTTTGAGTGGTAGAGAGAGAAATGCGATTTCATCTAAGAGAGTAGAAGCTGAGAGGAGTTTTAGTGGTAGAGAGAAAAATGGGAGTTCATCAAAGGGAGTGCAAGTGGAGATTGAAGGAAACAATAGTAGTGAATGTAACAGTGGGAAGAAGAAAAATGATGGTGGGTTGAGTTCTTCGGAGAGTAATTCAAAGCGCCAATTTGAATCGGCCACAATTGATTTGAGTGAAGGAGATTCTAGACAGAAAGAAGAGAGGGGAATGTTTTTGAGAAGTGAGAATCTTAGGGGAAGGAAAGGGGGTTCTAGTTCATCTTATTACTCCTTTTCATCTTCAGGCGATTTTGAGATAGATTTTCAGGATAAGCATGGCCTCCTTGAGGAACCTGCTTCAAGTGTGTACAAGGATTCAGAATGTGATAGATTTGATGAGCAGGTCAGTGAAGAGTACAGGAAGCATAGAGATGATTCTGATGGAAATGGAGAAATAACAAGACAAACAAATACTGCAGTTGTGGGTGGTGTTATGTGGGATTGGAGGAAGAAGACAGAAAAGAAGCTAACAGAAGTAGTGGCTGAAGAAACACAGGCTGATTGGAAATCCTCAGAAATGCATTCAAAAGTGATGAAGACCAAGCAACATGAGTTAGGAAAGACCTCTGGATCCCACAAGCAATTTGATGATGAGCAAGAGACTTCTTATTTGACTAAGGGAACAAATGAACAATATAGTCAAACAGAGAACCAAGTTGGTGGTGTGCCTGAATCTAGAAGAAAATTCCAAGAACACAATGAAATATCAGAGATTCGTAGAAATTCTGTTGAAACAACTTCCTGGTCCCAGAAGAGACCCACGCAAAGGGAAAACCTAGGGATAGCTACAAACTTAGTGCAGGAAACAAAAGATGAACATTACAAGACAGCTGGCATTATCAATCAAAAAGATGATTTAAACAGAGACAACCAAAAGCTCTCAAGAGTTTCACAAGTTCGAGTTGCTGACGCTGAAAGGACGTCCAATTGGCAGGGGCAGTCTGATACAAGGAGGATTTACCAGGAAGAAAACACAAATATGTTGCTGAGTTCAGTAAATCAGATAGAAGTGCAACACCACCAAATAGACCAGCAGATCATTGGACGTGTCAACTTGGGAAGAAAGCCCCAACAAGTCACTGAAATATCAGAAATTTGTGACAGTGGTGTTGAAACGGCCAACATTATTCAACCTGAAATTAGAATTATGAATCAGGCAGAGTGTTCAAACTTCGTTCCTGCGTCAAGCGGAGAGTCGTCAGAGCCATACTCAGGAATGGATGAGAAAGCATTTCAGAGGATTCAATCCAGAAAAGGAACTGATGATGTTACTGAAATGCCACTGGTCCGTGCTAGTAATAAAGAGAGAAATAACAATGCTCAAAGAATCTCTAAGAAGAGAACTATCAATCAAGGAAGTGATATAGCATCAGCTGCTACATCATTTGAGGAAACAAGACAGAGAAATAATGAAACTGATGAAACGCTCATGCAAGTTAAACCCAGAAAGGAGGACCAAAGTTCTACAGGATTATCTAATTTTTATGAAAAAGACTCAGAAGGAGCCTCTAGTTTCCAAGCATCTTTGAGTACGGTTTCCCAAGCTAGAATACAACCACATGATGTTGTGGGGAATAAGAGAAGCCTACAGGCAATGCTATTGGCCCCCCCTTCTCAATTGATAGCTAGAGGATCGCCGCACATTGAGTCAACAAGTGGGATGGCAACTCAGGAGGTTTCCGGAGAAATTTCAGAAAGTGGTTCTCCAGCCATGTGTACTCATTCAGGGAAACAAACTTCAGCTTTGCACCAAGAATCATACACTGGAAGTGGAAATGCCGAGACAGAAGCGGAGATTGAATACCTCATTCCTGAAGATGCTTTGGGTTCAGCTTATCGTTTGGAGAAATCATCTTCACAGTTTCTGGGGGATTTCATTGAGAGTGTGAGGTATGGTGTATCAACTTCTGAAAACCAGGATGAGACAGTTTCTGAACCAAGATTAGTATATGGGGGCGAGGAGGATGGGCAAAGTGCTTCGGCTTTGCTCCAAGAATCAGGCAGTGGAAATGGAAACCCTGGGACCCCAGGGGAGATTTTATACCTCATTAATCCTGAAGATGCTTTAAATTCAGCTCATCGTTTGGAGAAATCATCTTCACAGTTTGTTGGGGAGTTTTCTGAGAAAGTGAGGCATGAAGTCTCAACTTCTAAATATCAGAATGTGAATACAGTTTCTGAAGAAAAATTGGTGCATGGAGATGAGAAGTATGGGCAAAGGAATTCAAGTCAAAATGGATCTCAAGACTTGCAGAAGAAGGAGAATGACTCAAGGCGTTCATCTGGAGGTTCTGGAACCAAGGGGCCTTCAGATGAAATGTGGGATGTAACAGACCCATCTGTTCTTAGAACCCCCATGGCAGAAAAATCAGAGGTCGCTACAACAAATGGGAATGCCATTGTCAAGAGAACTGGCAGGTCTGTATGGAATATTGTTGCAGATATATTAAGGCTGAGGTGGAGTTCGAATGCTGAAACCCCTCGTTCTGCTGGGAAATCAGGTGGAAGGATTTCATCAAATGAATCTGCAAGTAGTGAGGCATGGTTTTCTGGCCGTGAGCCTGAAGACAACAATGAAAAGAACGCAAAAAGGGATCAAGACATGCAACCAGAACCCACCTCTGATCAGCTGCAACCAGGTAAATCATTTTCTCAAAGTGAAGGAGGAGTGTCTGGCATAATGAGGACCAAGGACAAGGTAAGATATCCTGAAGCAGGTACGCCATCGTCTCCCATTAAAGACGACAGTGGGTTGACATCAAAAGCCGCTTCCGTGTCTTCTGGTGAGGAAACTTTGGGTTCAAAAGAGAATCAAAAGAGTTCTCAAGGTTCTTCTTCTGGTATTAAAAAAGTGGAGTCATTGCAACCACTAATTGCAAGTGGCGTAAGGTCTCCCGTTGTGGAAGAAATTTCAAATCCTGGTATCACTGTGTCTGCAAGTGGTTCAACGAAGCACATGGACCAATTTGGTAGTCAAAAGTTAAATGAAGTATCGGACAATGTGCAAATGGGTGGGGAATTGAAACAAAGGAAGCTTCAGAGGAATAAGCAAGTCCTGAGAGACAGATTTGATGAATGGGAAGACGCGTATACACTTGAAATTGAACAGAGAAAAACTGATGAAATGTTTATGAGAGAAGCACTGCTCGAAGCTAAGAAGGCTGCTGATACTTGGGAGGTGCCTGTTGGGGCCGTACTGGTACAACATGGGAAGATTATTGCACGTGGATGTAACCTGTGAGTTTTATAAGCTTATATGTATGCTTTATAATTAAATGTTTTCTTCTGGATATTTACACTGATGTGTTCATTAGAGTGGAAGAATTACGGGATTCAACAGCCCACGCAGAGATGATATGCATACGAGAGGCTTCAAACCTTCTTCGGACATGGAGGCTTGCGGTAATTTTTCTATTATTTAGTAATTAGTATCCTTTTTTATTCCAATATACATATATGCATGTACGTACGTATATTCATTCTGATGATTTCCTGCTGTTCTTTTTTCTTTTGAGCAACTGTGACTAGTTCTGATTGGACCTATTCTACAATCATGTTTTTCCTCCCTCCCCCTTAATCGATTATAGAAAACGTGGAAGTGATTGTGTTGGAATAATTTTGTATATAATTCAAGTTACTGCTTACTGATGAATGAAGCAATGTCATAGCACCTTGTCTTGACTTAAATTTTGTTTTTCGAACTCATAGGATAGTACACTATATGTAACACTTGAACCATGCCCTATGTGTGCTGGAGCAATACTCCAAGCGAGAATCGACACTGTTGTGTGGGGAGCTCCCAATAAGCTTCTTGGAGCTGATGGCAGCTGGATAAGGTACGCAAATTTTGTACTTCTTAATAGGTCATAGCCTGTTGTTTGTCCTAGATATGATATCTGATATTACTGTTATTCATATTTAAGCTTTATCAGAGGCTGGCCTTTGTTCTTCAATTGTTCCATCAAAACTACATTTACATATACCACATTTTACGATGAAATAGTGCCTTATCCGGTCAACATGTAAACAATACTTGCAGACTTTTTCCAGATGGGAGGGGAGGAAACGGCTCGGAACAGTCAGACAAGCCAGCTGCTCCTGTCCACCCATTCCACCCGAAGATGAACATCCGACGAGGTGTGTTGGCATCAGAGTGTGCAGATATAATGAAGCAGTTCTTCCAGCTGAGAAGAAAAAAGAAAGAAAAGCAAGCAGACCCGCCAGCACCGCCCGCACGTCAGCCTGTTTCTCACCATCCATCAAAGTTACTTACCAAGGTGCATGACATCTTCCATATAATGTTCTGTTTGTGATGGATAGTTCAAAACCGACAATTTGATCATAAATGTACAAATCCCTGTTGAAGTTTTGTCCGTCCCGTAGATAAAATTGTTCTCTCTTATAGTCTCATGAGCGTACACACGTTCTCACAAAGCCCATTTCTTAATCTCTACAGCAGGGTTGAAACTGCACCTTTTCTTATGGGTTTTCTGGTTTCAGCCGAGATAATCTAGAACAGTATTCGTATGGGTCACTAAAGCCCAATTGTAGTCCAAACTTTTCGCATAACTATAACATTCATAATGTCTAAGAGTTCATATGAATAGTAATTTCACTTAAGTTTAATAAAATGATCATGTGGCTAATATGAAGGTCTATATATGGCATTCTCACTATAAAATTTCGCTAATGTCTGAAGAGGATGACTATTGATCTTTGTTTCGGAAGCAAAATGACTATTGGTTTGTTTGGGTGATTCAATGGATTTGGGTTCTACTCTGGCTTTTCGAATCCCCTCCATCAACAATAAAAAAGACTTATTTATGTACATGCCCTCTATGCTTTCAAAGTTGCCTCAGATTACCAGTTGTGCTTTGAAACGTTTCAAAATACCTCCTACAATTTTAAAAACTGTCTCACGTTACTCGTTCAGTCAGTATTAAGAGACGTTCTGTTATGTGGTGTGTGCCTCACTTCTTTTAAATCGCTTAACAATGGAGCATAAGGGTTATTCATTAGTTTCATAAAAAAGGGAAATTGGGTGAGAAGGGGAAATTGGGAGAAGAGGGTAGAGTTTATGAAAATCTGTCCAGCCTTATGAAAATATGTCTACGATTTTTGGTGCACTATTCTACTCCATTGAGGTGCTGCCCTCCACCTTATTACCTCCATTTGAGCTTCTGCACAGTAGGGTTTGGCAGATTCGAAACCCTCGGGATTCCATTTTGCCAATGCTCCATCAATGGCGGGTTGAAGGGGTAGACGTGAAGCAACCCGAGCTCCAAGGTTTCATCAAGCGGCTCCGAGGGTATCGTCGCTACGGCTATTCTCTATAGATTTCAGAGTGGATGAGCGATGAACTGAATAACCCTAGCCCTCTTCTTAATCCTAGTCTTCTTCTCCCAAGTTCCCCTTTTTTGAAACTGAATAACCCTTACTCTCAATTGTTAAGCGATTTAAAAGAAGTGGGGCCCACACCACGTAACCAAACATCTCTTAATACTGACGGAACGGATAACGTGAGACAGTTTTTAAAAGTGTAGGGGATATTTGAGACGTTTCAAAGCACATGTTGTAATCTGAGACAATTTTGAAAACACAGGGGGCATGTACATAAATAAGCCTAAAAAAATGGCTTTTCACGAGAAATTATTGTGTAATATTAGAACATGGTTATGTGATATAACCAGTCCACATGTCTCCTTTCTTTAAATTGTACGCACATCATGTGACAATGATCATGTCATTAGAATTTATGAGTTAGATTAGTGGTAAATGGCGGTTGGTGCTTAATCACATAAACGTCCCCTGCCTGGTGCAGTTGCATCAATAATTCAATCTTTCATGTTCGTGGCAGCAAGAACATACCGGCCCACCAGACGGTGATTCCAACCTCTCACCAGCGGCTTCAAATGCAATTTGACACTACCAGTGAGAGATCATTAATTGAATAATAATCTAATAACTAAATGCCTTGTTATCATTATTTTTACTTGACCGTGTAAATAAAAGAAGGGCATTGAGGAAGCGTTCATGAGAGGAGCCAGGACCTTGCTTTCGAAAAAGGTTGATGTGTACAGCTTACCAGAGCTAAGGTTTGCTGTTAAGATCAACAAAACGGTAGGTAGACGTTTCTTCTAATTGTTGCATGCATCATTCACCTCACTGTGTATCTTGTGATTTTCTATTTTGTTGCTATTTGTGCCACGAGAATTTTGTGTAGCAATTGAATACTACAAACAAAACAATAATTTCTTTGTCAACTTCTCAGGCTTTATTTTCAGGCTAAGGCACTGCCCCCCCCCTCAAGTTCAGGTTTAAGATTAATAGGATGGGACCATCTAGTGAGGCCGGGGATATCTTCATAATTCACAGCCACCTTGCTCGCCAAATGATTAGAAGAGAAGTTCCAATCACATGAAAATTACATCTCTCCCTTCAAGTTTTCACCAAACGTTTCTTTCACCTGCTGCGTTTGTTTAATTCTCAAAACCCAATATATAACCTCCAATTCTTCTTACTATCATCCACCCTTACAAAAATGGCTTCAATTGTCTTGGCTTTCGTTCTAAGTTGTCTTAGCTTTCTACTAGTCCTTACCAATGCACAAACACCTGCAGCTGCACCCTCTACTCTGCCAGCTGCAACGCCCCCACCTACCACCACACCAGCTGCCCCGGCTACTTTGCCAACTACAACTCCACCAACTTCTGCTGCATCACCAACTGCAGCAACACCACCACCTGTAGCAGCAGCAACCCCACCCACAACCACACCTACGTCACCATCCCCTAAGGTTGCACCAGCCACAAGCCCAACAGTCCCACCCCCACTACCACAAAGTCCACCTGTCTCAACTCCATCACAGCCACCAGCACTGCCGCCACCATCACCCGTTTCACCACCACCATTGCCGCCTCCTGTACCAGCACCAATTCAAGCACCACCAGCACCAGCTCCTGTTAAAGAGACACCAGCACCAGCACCAGCTAAGGTAGCACCAGTGCCCTCACCATCAAAACCACCCCCAGCACCAGCTCCAGCACCAGTTCTTGTGCCACCAGCTGCAGCACCAGTGCTAGTTCCGTCAACTGCTCCTGCTCCACCCAAACACAGGAGGCACAAGCACAAGCACAGGAGGCATCATCATGCACCAGCACCTGCACCAACTGTACTAAGCCCCCCAGCACCACCTACTACAGTGACAGATACAGAGGAAACAACACCGGCACCATCACCCAGTTTGAGTTTGGTATGTTCTTAATTCTTTCTTAGAACTGCTGACCAAGAACACCATATTTACATGCGCTGTGAACTCAATTTTTATTAATATTACTTAAAAAAAAATTGGATTACCCTTCTTCTTTTTTGTCTCATAGAATGGAGGAAATGCACTGCACCAGAAAGGAGGGATATCGGGAATGTGGGTTACAACTGGATTAGCAATTGCTATACTGCTGGCAATGAGAAGCTAAAGTTCTTACAGATCTTAGACAATGGACTGTGAATTTATTCGTATATTGCAAGGAGATTTTTTGAGAAGAAGGTGTATTGCAAGAAAATGATTATTCCAGATGTAGGAATGAATAATTCAAAAGATGAACCATCAATATTAGCATTTTTGTATTTACTTCGTGTTCAATATTTCAAGGGAGATGATTTTTGGATTCCAACAACCATCCATAACTTAACAAGGAAGACAACTCAAACAAGCATGCAAAATGAATTCAATGCCAGATCAAACTTTATCCATATCTGTGTCCGCATCGATATCCTTCCTTAAGTCATACTCAACCACAAGGCCAAGATTATCAACTAATTTGTGATGCTTGAGACACCCTGCACACTGATGAGAAGAAAGTGCTAATCGGTCAGATAAACGAAAAGAAATTTCTTACTTTCAAATTAAGAGAACTAGAATCAACTTTGAAATGACCACTTAAATAATCCTATTAATTTATATATGTTTTTTCTTTTTTTGGTTTGACATAACGAATAAATAGAAATGTATCTCAATAAGAAAAGAATTGACAGAATTTAAACTTTAGAAAAGGTTTCATAGGTTTATCATTAGCAGGAACAGACCACACAGAATCTTATATCAATCAACAAGATGAGTAAATACCTGTACGTAAATAAGCCCCCGCTCATAGGCCAATCGATTCACGAGCCTATCTGTTCTTTCACCGCACAAATCACAAGTAAATTTTACAAGCAAGCTTCTTCTTGGGAGTTTATATCAATAGTAGCATCCTTTTGTGGAGAGCATGCAGGAAACAGAACCGAGTTAAAGAAGAAAGTAAAGACATTCAAGCAACAGCAAAATACACACACATTGAAATGATAACACATGTCACATTGGCCTCAAAACTTTCTGAGCATTTTTATTTAATCCTACCAATGCAATTATCTATTCACAAATAATTTAGAACCAAATCTTGAAATCAGACCAAAAGTAATACCCTTTTTTTGGATAAATTACCACAAGCAATAGTAAATCAACGACATAAAAAAAAGACAACGAATTTATAAAGTAGAATCACATCATTATTATACCGTATTCGGAATGTTCTGTTCCAATTCTCCGTCTGTTTCAAAATTGCCATTCAACAGTCCAGAAACAGCCAGTACCTTATAGGCACGCTTTGGCGCTACAGCGGCCGTATGGGAAATTCTTGAGCTGAAACCAAAGTTTTAAAGAGTTATAGATTGGCATAAAAGTTTTATAGTCGAAGAAAGAAGAAAAATTGAAAGGAACCCAGATAAGGAAACTCACCAGAGAGGGTTTTGTACTTGGGCTAAGGACCTGGAGAGGCCGATGACAGGGTTTGTCTTGGAAGAAGAAAAGGGTCTGAAAAAGTTGGGATGAAGAAGGGCTTTAATGGGTTTATGAGGATTAGTTATTGGAGACGAGAGAGAAGGAAGGGCTGGAGATAAACCCCAGGCAGTTGGTGTTGCCGCCATGGGTGTGACTGTATACTGCCGTTGCAAGAATGAATTGGGTTTTGGAGCTCTGTATTATTTTCAATTTTTTGAGAATCAATTGGGGGTTTTTGCGTCGTGTTATATGACAAATGCTGCTGAGTGGCCAAAGCTGGTGAGTTGGGCCGCCAACGGTCAATTTATAAACTTTTTCGAAACCCAAAATTTGAGATGATCCAAATTACCCCTAACCTTATATCATACCACATTAGGATTTTACTTTGAATATTGAAACCCTAAAACTCACAAATTAAGGAAAGACAACAAACGATTTTGTTGGCGATGATATAATTCAATATTGAATTTTAGCAATGAGTGAACTCAACTCAACTGTACACTAATAATGTATTTGCAATTTGCATAATTTTCTTTTCATTGATGAAGGAGATTGTTGTATACAAGTATGAACAAATGTTTCCCAAAATCCACCGAACAAAAAGAGATTACAGTTGATGTCTTGTTTGTTATATCAACTTGAATGAGCTCAACAAGGTTCCTCTTGGATACATTTGTTCTAAAAACGCCTAAATCACCAATGACCACCCCGCATCAAATTTTATATGCAACTGTTGCCAATGGGGCATCAGTCTTCTTCATCCACTTCATGGAAAGGCAGTGGCACTGTTTTAACTGCTCTAAACTTGCCTGCATTATTTAGATGCTCATTCTCCAACCTGGACCATTTGGAACAAATTGTTCTTTAGGTTAGAGCTATTGCACTTGAAAATGAAAAGGTTTTTTTTTAATTTCAGTTTCATGTCAAGTTTTGCTTCTATATGACTGCACATGTAGACTGATATAAGAATAAGAATCATGAGATTTGAGTAGTTACCTGTAAAAGTTCCACAGCCCTCTTCTGATGACTTCAAGGGCTGCTAAAAATAACCCAGTTACCCTGTAGTCCACATGTCCAAAACTTGAATGGAGAACAGTTTGCAACCAAGCTAGCCTGAGAATAAGGTTCAATCCCTGCATATCCAAAATATTGGTCAACATTAGATTTTCACACTGTCAAATTGACAAGACCTAAACTGTAACCTAGAAACAAAACAGAACATTTGCTTCTGTGATGTGTGCATAGCCTCAGACAACATCTAATTCTTTGCTGGCATATTGTCTTCTGTGAATTAGAGTGGGAATCTGATCTGCTCTTATAATGGCATTATCAGTATTTTGTTTGGAGAATATGTCCATCCAATTTATGATCATATCTATCTTGACCATTTGCTAGATGCTAATATCAATCAAGTAGTTGGATAATTGGTTTCTAATTCTGTCAGAGACTAGCTTTGGGTGCCAATTGTATGCCAATGGCCCGTAGACTCTTGAAAGTTTCCTAAAGTGAAAAGGAGAGAGGTAGGGCCATGACATATACCATTGAGATGTAGTAAATGATCTTTCTGCGAAGCATTAATTCATTCCTAAGCAAAGGATTCTTGGAATTCATTTGTAGCAAACCCCAATCCTTTACAAAGTCCCAATACAATTGGTACACTGTTGCAAAAGTCGACATGATCACAACAAGACAGAGCCATCCAATGTTCCTTTCTTTCTCATAAGCTACTTTAGCTCCTGCTGCTAACATTGCTGAGACATACTTGCCTAGATTGACAAGGTGGCTTGTCTGTCCCTCATCGAACCACCGCCTAGCACACTGTAAACCGAATTAAGCAAAAATCTTGGTCATAAATGTTTTAAGTTAGTTGAAGAAAAAACACAATAAAGATCAAAGCAAAGAAAAATATAGAGTAGTAGTTTACCTGCATTGCTCTCCAGTAATAGGGCAGAAAGGACACAGCATAAGCAAGATCTCGGTAATTCTTGACCCTCATGCAATAGTCATAGTCCTGAGTCTTGTAGCTCCCAGTTATGTAGTAACATGCCACATACTCAAGGTTCCTAAGCATCGGAACCTGTTGAATAGAATGAATATGTCGTTATGATAAATCAGAAAAGATTATGATTTAAGAACTCCAGTAAGCAATAGTTCGAATTTTTTATTCGCTCAAGGTAAAAAAGAAAGTGTAATTCTTAAGTGCTCATCAATACCTGACTACAAAGTTGATCTGCCATGAAGAAGTCCAGCATGACAACCTGCAGATAGCAAACACAAATAAATTAGAAATATGATTTGATTGGTCTAATATGTTTTCAGCTATTAATTGGATGTTGGAGATATGCAGTACCTTGTACAGAGGTGACAAAATGATATTTCTTATCACACGAAGAAAACGGAAACGGCTTGATTGGTAAATGATATTGAAGGGGCACACAAGTAATAGGAGAAACATCTGCACATTCAGGAGAAAGTTAAATACCTGGTGACTAATTATTCTAAAATGTAGGCATAAGTAAGAAAGATTAACAGGTATGCAATTTCTAATTATTATGTCATGAGTTCAAGTAATTACCAATAAAAGCAGACCAGGGATTGCTTGAACTTGGTTGTGTGAATAGCCTTTTGTTAGCAATGACAAATGAACAAACATGACCCCCACTACAACAGTCAATGAGGTGGTACAGATCAAGAAAACATCTCTGTACTTTAGCTCCTTTGTTGGGGACAGTTCAAAGATGAAACTATAATTTATACGAGCCTTTCTCCATGCAAAAATGTTGCAACCATATAGGAAGAAGTGTAGAAACAGAAGGCTGAACATGCTGCAAAAAAGAAAAAATGTTTGTTTTTTTAGCCTCCTTGTTTACATCTTGCGTCTTTAAGACTTGTTCAGGTATGGTGCTAAAGAAATGAATAGCTGCAACACTTGCCTAAGTACAGGGTAGGCAGTTTCCATGTAGACTGATTTTGGCTGCCGTCTGTAGAACCCCCATAATATGAGCCATAATGACATATCCGGCAAAGAGCGCGATAAAACACCCGGTAAATAAACCTGATGATTATAACCAAAGAAGATAAAGTCACTTGTTATGCAATATGTTGCAGTTAAAATCAGATGCAGCAAATTGCTCAAATTAGAATCTGTGTCATGGTTCAACGTGTAGTCAATTAAGGTAAAGGGAACATCCTTATCAGCTTCACATGTCATGTATGAGCAGAAGGGTTAGAATCTTATGCTACATATCTTTTAAGTTCCACACTTGTTTTCTGCTAGGCGAGAATGAAAGACCCCGCTACCAATTTTACCACTTGATGATATGATATTTACTTCATAGATGTGTGCAGCGCATAGTAATTAGACCAACATGGGTACTTAGCAGTGTACATGCTCTTCTAGTTTGGCACCGCACTGAGGAAACAAAATATTGCTGCCCTCTAGGAGTTGATGGCCCTTTTGGGGTTCTACCTTTGTACAATAAAAAATTGTCCCCAAAGATAACAGTGACATAGCATGGGACCTGTGCTTTATTGCCCACCCAGGAAAGGTGAACTAGGCACAGCCTTGTGTTTCAAAGCTTAGTGGCCTAATGGGTCCTTTCTTTGGTTTCTTAAATCTTGTACGGCCCCAAAATGAACAAACTTTAAGCTCCCCAGCAAAAGTTGTGTAAAGGAAAACCACTTGGGTACTTTAATTTATGATTAAAATAATGTTCATCATTCCCAGTTTGTTGTAAACTGGCATGGACTTACCAATGAAGAATGTTACAGAGTGCGATTCTTTACACTGGGTCGGTTTCAGGTATTTCATGGCCTTTCTTCTGTCTTCTTCAGCAAAGTGTTTGATAAATAGTTCCTCAACTTCATCTGCTAAATTCATCACCTGTCATTTTTGAAACTTATAAGCATAATACTATTGGCTGCTAAAGTTACTTTAATTTCTAGTTCATGTGTCAGACTCAGACAAGCATATCTGAGTTTGATAATATGAATCTAATGGCATCCATTGTGCAGTCATGAACTATAAGAATCAATGGCCACTTGACATTGTCGGCAAATATTTGGATGAAATGATAGTTGGTGGCCAACATTTGAACATGATCCAATCATAATATCAGGCAAAATTGTTCTTTACTTAACATAGCCAGAGCATGATAGGAATTTTTTACTTGGTGGGTCTAGAACTTGGATCAGTCAAATACCTTATCCGAGCTGTTGAAATAGGAACTCTCAACCACTTTTAGGTAAATGGGAAGAACTTGTTTTCCAGTGACCTGAAAAAGAAAAGAAAAATCATTTTAATTACATACGCAAAACAAAAATCCAAAGTTTAAAAAGAGCTATAAAGTCACTCATTTTACTTACCTTGTCGAACTTCTTTAAAATCTTTATAAAAGCAAGCATGTTCAAGTTCCTGCAAATCATTAGTGTTGTGGACAACACGTAAGCTTCTCTGCCTCACCAAATTCCAATACGTAATAACTTCGAAATTGTTTATCTTTTGAAGTTAAGAAACAAAAAAAGTTATACATCTAAAAGCTTTGAGGGTGATTGATACCTGTATGTTTTGAGATATCCCAAACCCTTATAGAGCTCAACAAAAGCTCCTCTGATCATCTTATCCGCATGATGCAACTTTTTTTTGTTGATATGCAGCTTACTGCCTTCTGCACTGCATTTCTTTGAGGACTGATTAACCAGATCTTCCCAGACCAAGTAACTGATTGCTGAGAAGGTACGCGATGGGGTTGTGAGAGGAATGTTTATCTTCAAGTTCTTCCCTTGGCAACTGAAAGAACGACTTGACATGGTTCTCAGTTTCCCAATATCTTCACTTTTCGTTCTCATTGATTTTCCCAATTCACCTGATATTGACCCTTCTGAATGTGGCACTTCATTTTTCTCCAAGTCCTCTGTGCTGATGTCTTGCATCTCCTGTTCATGCTCTGTTTTGTCCTTAACAGAGTCCTCCTCTGTATCCAAGAAAAGATTTTTTTTTAAAAAGTTTTTCTTAATGAGAAACAGATCATCAATTTTTGGTTCCATCAGTTTGGTCCAAAAAACTAACAACAAATTACTCTACTTCTAAGTGAAGATTTTGGTACTTGGCCTCAGACATTTTGTTTTAGTACTGAATTGAAGCAAACTAGAAAAAATAAATATGCCAAAAAGTATAAGTAACATATGTAGTATGCATGCATGAACTCAGCTATGGAAGCATATGCAGAGCTTGCTCATTGTGATTGAAACTTAAGACAAATTTGAATATATACCAGATGAGAAGGAGCATGATATAGAGGCATCCTCCTTGGAATCCACTGCAGACGCTCCTTTGCCGCGCTGCTGCTTGAAAGCAGTTTTGAGCTGAATGAGTATATCCATCTGCTTCCTCAAGGACTCTCCTCTCTCCATGAACTCTTTCTCCTTTGTTCTGAAAAACTGGTTCACCTTGTTGAGCTGGAGGTCCAAGCGTGCAAAAAACTCTTTTGCAGCATCAGTGTCAGCAAACTGCTCTAGCAGCTCAGTTTCATACATGTCTCCCTTACTTGCTGATGAGGCAAGCTTCTTATGCACCTGGTACATACAAGACACACATTAATTAACAAATAATGAAATACTTATTTAAAATTTAACAGAAATAAAAAATGAGCATACATGAATGAGGTCATGTTCTCTATGTTGATGGCCAAATGGAGAGAACTTCCTTATAGATGTGAAGAGGGTATTGGACAAAGAGGTATTTTGGTGCTTAGAAGTTGGTGTGTTGTTGTTGTTGTTGTTGTTGTTAGTGTTAAGGAGATGGATTTTTTGAGGTCCTTCTTGAGTTGGCAGTAATCTACAAATGCATCTTTCCATTCAGGGACCAGCTGCCCTTCAAATTGCTTAGAGAACTTCACCATTTTCTCTCCTTGCGTGTTGTTGAGTTGTGATGAGAGAGAAGGAAGAGGTTCTGCTGCTGCTGCTGCTCCTTGTGAGTGTTCAAAGGAAGGCCTTGGTGGCATTATTTATGGAGTTGGAAAAGGAAGGAACTTAGATTGATGTGCTTCGTACTGATGCTCAACAATAGCACATTCTAAAATATCCTGTGCACTTGTACCATCATCCTATGCTTCCCCCACTTGGAAAGGTATAGTGGCCAGCTTCGCCGGAAAGTTACCAAAAACCACCACCGGATTTTCTCTCTCTCTCTCTCTCTCTCTCAGCCAATTTGTGCTCATGAAGATTTTGAAAGGGTGGGAATTTAAAGTGGTAAGGAGGTGGGACCAAATCCAATTCAAAAATATATGAAAAAGAATAGCCTCTTAGGAGGGCATAATTTGTCATTTAGGAAAATCAGCAAAGTTTTTTCCTTTTTCTGGGTGAGAGATTATGTAGTATATTTGCCTCCTAGTTTACCACCAAACCCTTTGTTCCACAACTAGTATGCATGTAATCAAAGGGTACTTTAGACACTTGGAAGTTGGAGGCAGTGCCCCATAAGTAAAAGTCAAGAGCTGCTTATTTGTGAGATTGAAGCTTATTGGCCAAATTATTTACAAGCACACCAAGACCACCTCCAATTAGACCAGCCTGATTTCCACTAATTGAAGATAATTAAAAGCTTCAATTATTTTTCCTACCTTTCATTAGCCAATCTATACTTTTGTTTGCAGTATGAAAAGTAGAGATGGATCATATTAAATTAATATATGATGGTGCTGCATTAATTAGGCTCATACAAGATCACCAGGATCATAAAAATTAGTTCATTAATACAACAGTAAAACTTTGCAAAAACTAGCTACCTCTTAAAAATTCTCGTTTTTCACAAATAAGCCTATTCTAACATGACACTTTATGATTTAAAAAACTTTCGAGTTCAATATTTTAGAAAAACTTCATGTTGTACTCTCGAGTGAAAAAATTGTAACACACAAAGAACCAATTATGTAGATCAACCAACCTACATCTGCATATATGCTTATTGTACTATATATTCCACATAGAAAGGTGTTTTGGATATCATTATTTCCATCAGATCCATATAAAAAGAATAGTGTGACATAATATATATTATTTAAATAAAGCTAATTTCTAGTAGCCCTAGCTAGTCGGGCAATAGTGGTGGTTGTATGGTGAGAGGTTCTTGCATATATGATATGTGTTGTTCTATTCCTTTGTTCTAAATCCACTCCATTTTGCCCAACTTGTCAACATGATCAGACCTTCCCACCAAAACTACACAACAAAAATTTATAAAAAATAAAAAATAAAATTTCTGTTTTATAATAATTTTTTTATTAAAAAAGAATAGAAGAAAAGAAAGCCGCAGTCGTTGCTGTGTTTTGGGGCCCTAGCTAGCTATTATCTTTTGTCATTTTTCTTCCAAGAAATGGACAACATCAACATTATAATTGTGGAAAATTGACAGCGTGACTAAGAAAAGATACCCCCTCTTATTTTTTTTCCTACATCCGTACACTCACACACTCACACTTCCTTTTTTCTTGTCTTACGCAGAAACCAATATAAGTTTTGTTTTTCTACTGCAGCTTATCTCAAAAATAAAAAAGAAAGAACATCATTAATATTCATATCAAACAAAAAAAAAAAAAAAAAAAAAAAAAAAAAAAAGAGAAAAAAAAAAAAAAAAAAAAAAAAAGTGCGAAGTGCCTCAGATTGATTGAAATTTGACAATATAATATGCTATACTGCGTAAAAGAATGTTACCCTAATTTTAGAAAGAATCTAGACATTGGTTAGGTACATATATTTCAGTTAAAGCGAGATGGAGAGGAAAAAAGGAGAGCCATGAAATGTAAGGGTTATTAGGGCATATAGTACAGAGCCAATGACAAGCCATGGAAATGATGATCTGATTCGGATGGCACATTTGGGTGCTCCCTTGCAGAGCGACCCAACCCATATCTCCATTTCCTTTCCCTCCCTATTAATTACATTATCATCTTTCTCCTCTGCGTGGCTATAATTTCCAAAAGATAAAAAGGAAAAACAGAAGAAGAAGAAAAATAAGAGAAAGAAAATAATAAAATAGAATTTTGACCCCACATATTCCTATATGATCAATCATAAGGATCGTGAATATGGTCAATGCAATTTGGATTAATTACTTTTACCTTTTATGAGAGTGCTGTTATTATTATTATTATTTTTCCTTAAATCAAGTAAAGCATTTGCCCATTTGTCATTATACTCTTAAAATAAAAAAATAAAAAATAAAAAAAAAAAAAAAACTTTTTATAAAAATATACTAGAAAGCTTAAAGTGGGGATCAGTCACTTTAAAATTTATTGGTTCTGCTCTACCCTCATGGTTTTAAAATTTAGCCCTAGTTGTGACTTTCTGACTAAGAGCCCTAATTGTGAGATAGTAATCGGTATTGATAAGTTTAAGTAAGTGCTCTATTGATGAAGTTATAAGTTCGCTACGAAATTTAGCGAGTAATTTATATACTGATATTGCTTTTGTATCTTAACTCAACCTCCGGACACGTGTTGTTAAAATCCTCATGGCCCAAAGCGTTTTTGACCATTGCTCGAAAAGGCAACATCTTTAGAAGATCCATCGTATATCAATTCAGAGTGAAATATGATGGGTTTGATGGATGAAGTAATATTTCAACACTAGCTCCATGTCTCTGAATAATGCTCGCACAAGCTTTGAGCTCATCAAAATCCATGTCGTAGATATAAAAAAAATGCTTCCCATATTCGAGAATGAGATGCCTGTCTTCAATTATACAAGACCTTTAGACGTATAATTTGTCCTAATACGTCATGTAACAAAAGACAAAATAAATTATGACTTTCAAGTATAATTTGTCAAGATGATTCTGAGGCATACGATTCTTAGTTATGCGGCACTGTCTGAACAAATGCCCCGAAAAATTAGTCATGTTAAATAAGAATATCCCCAATTTAGTTAAAAAAAAATTCCCATGCTGCCTCTCATTTATATTGCTTGAAACCCCATCTCATCCATCCATTTTCACTTTAAGCGGCAGAGGTTGATGATTCAGGGAGAGCATATACTTGAATGACTGCCGATAATGGTTCTATCCTTTGCAGAGGGCCATAATTGCTACATTAAAACATACCCACCATGGATTTTTGCTTAGTATATGCTCTCCACTTTGCATAATTATCATCCCTTGGCTTTGAATTGGGAGGTAAAAGATTTTGATTCTCCTCGATACGTGCTAATTGAGAACCATTTGATTTTTCTCTGGTCTTCAGGAGATCATGGAAAGTTTGATATGGATGTATGTGAGATATCATGTAACTGAATGAGAGTGAGACTGCCGGTACCCTATGCCGGGGTTTTTTACTAAATTAATCTTGTTTATTTATCTATTATAATTAATATGCACTTAAACATAAAGAAATCTAGGGTTAAGTAAGCTTAATAGTTACTGGTTGCTTGGAAACTGACTTGGATTATATTCTCATCTTGAGATCAGGATCATTATCTTCCAGAGTGTTGGAAAGGAAGGATAATGAATTAGTACCCTATGTCTCCCAAGTTTTTAAATTGGCACTTCTATGGATTATACTTGTATTTAAAGTTTATCTTAGGAAATTTTATTTATAAAAAAAGGCATATGCTGATGGGTAGGAAGTACAGTGACTGGTTTTTCTAGCTTTTTTATTATCATTTTAAGACACAGATATTGGGAAGCAGCTAGTTATTATTCTTTTTCTTTCTTTCTTTCTCCATCTTCATTGGTATCAATGGTATGTGTCTTGTCTACAAGAAATTCATATGTGTAAAATATTAGGGGAATAGAGAGACAGGAACAAAATTAATCAGTACTAGTACATGTACTAAGATTTTGAGAATCAGAATAACTTTTTTAAGATTTTGAGATTGAGTATGAAGATTAATATTTTTCTTTTTCTTTGCAGAAGTTTAAATTTTATGATCGCTTCTTTCATGCCAATCGGGAGAAGATAAATGGTAAAAATTATTCTATCGCCTTTTTATAAATTTTTTTTTAATTTAAAAAAAGGGTTAAAATTAGAAACGGGGAGGTTTCTGGGTTGCTAGAGTTTGCACATTAATTTGCTAATATTGATCATCAGAAGTACTTAAATTTGATCTGGTACTGCAAGAACAGCATATTAAAACAGCTTCGTGAATATAAAAACAGGAAATTAATCATGCATATGTAGCTGGATGCATGAAAACCTAAATGCATCTTAATTAGTATATTTATTTAAATTCCAGCCAGAAGCAGTTTATACTTTATACCTAGTATAATCCGATGCCGGCATCAATATTATAAATGACTGCATGCATAGATTGTCGACTGGATAAGAGCCGGCTTCTTAAGGGAATATGTATGTATATGGTTATATATGCTTCTTTCCCAAGAAGATGCATATATTTGACTATTAAATCTGGTCCCAAGATCCAATACGAAGAAAATAAAGATCAAGAAGGAATTGGAAGCTTCCGGCTGCCTAATTTGAACAAGTTCCAAATGTACGTAGTTCAATTGGGTAAAAGGAGGATTTGAAGCTACTATTGTTTAATAAAATCTCCCCATTAGTTGAGATGAACAAAGCTATCTGCACTGAAGCAAGTTAAGAATTTTGAGGGCCTAATTTCTTATCAATTTTTGTATGATCGGGTGACTCATATAAATCACTAAAAAAATAATAATTAATAAGGGTCCGTTTGATAACAATTTCAATTTTAATTTTTAGTTTAGTGAGTATCGAACAAGTCTAACCGTGGTGGGTTGATATATTAGTTTAGTGAAGTAGTCAATGAACCTAAAAACTGAAAAACCATGCATGCTTCTAAACTTTAGTTTGGTAATTTTCCATTTATGCCTCCAAATGGATAGGCGCAACATTGCATATCCCTATAGGAGGAGCTTCCATAAAACAAAGACAAAAAATAAAAAAAACTGGCTTTTGACTAAACATCATAAATGGAAGGATGACAAACGTGTTGTTATTGATGTTAACCTTTTAATGTTTTGTACGTGCACGGTTCATCAGACACAACGATCTCCACCACAATCACAACACATAAACTTGCTTTGACATAATTGGCAGCTTAATTATAATTAGCACCTGCACTGCATACTGTTTCAGCAACTCAAAGTCTAATCTCTTCTGTCTTTAATTATTCTAATTACTAATTTGAGATACGATTATGACCGCATGCATTAGATTATATATGTTTCTATATATGTATGCATATTTGTCGTGGGAGAGAAGAATCCCACTATGCAGGCACAGATGACTTAAGCAGTGGCTTGTATGTTTACGTGTGGCTGATCAAGATTGGTTAAGTACTTAATGCTTATACAGACAGACTAAGCATCCATTAGAATAGTATATATCTATCTAAACATTCATTGTTATACCAATTTGCGTTAACCTAATCTTAATTAATTACTGTTCCCTTATCTCTTGGTATTGAACACGAGGAACAGATGAGGATGATTGCCATTTTAAAATCGAGACTGTGTTTGAGATGCCAAAAAATGCTTTCGGATTTTTTTAAATGATGTTTAGTTGAAAACAATAATATTTTTTTGATTGTAGAATATGTACTAAAAGATATATGTACTAAAAGTGCTATTACAATAGATATAATCATTTTCCAAAAGATATATATATCTATATATAATGAGATTCGTTGGAGTGAAAGGTTAGAGCAAGCAGGGACATCCCTCGGGTAGTACAAGTGACGCCACCCGGCAGCGCCCCGATTTTTTAGGGTCCTTGAAATATTTTAACTTGTATATTATATATATTTTCTAGCGCGCAGTACATTGATACCATTGCGTGTTTGGTGGACTTGGTTTCCATCACATGTCCCTTCAAAACAAAACAAAAAAAATTTGTGCCTTCTTCTTCCTTTTAATTTTAATTTTAATTTTTTATGGTAAGTTTTGTTTTTGGTCTGGTAAGTAACCATCACCATTCATCAAGCTCTTTTGTTCAATCGTTTCACAATTTTTGTTTTTCTTTTAATTTCAAGAATTTCAACACCAAAAAGCGAAATTCCTAAATTGATAAAGACCATTCAAAATTTGTGATTGCCATGGTTGACGATGAATTTTTATTATAAAAAAATTGTTGTATGAAATTAAGTTATAGAAAATTATTTTGTTAATATTTTCGTATTGGATTATGTGAGGACCTCAGTTTAAATTTCGCACAGAACATAACAAGTATACATGTTGATTTTCGCTAGTTTGGCAACCAAAAAGACGTGAAAATGAAAGGTAGAAAAACATATGGAAATAGAACTCTATCACCATAAGTAGTGGTTAATTAAGCACTTATATGGACTCAAAAAGCCAACAATATCCATGATCACCATATAGTTGATTGATATCATTCACTCAGTTTCTAAAACTACATTCCTTTAAAATGATTTTGAATATACGACAAGCAAGTCTTTACATTAATCAACTTGTTTCTTCATAATATCAAACTTTAAGAAAGAAAAGTTCAGATCTTTCCCAAAGGCAACTTACGAATGGACTGCATGCATGCATTTCCCCACACAATCTAAAGGTGAAAAAAACAAAGTAGGATAGCTAGGTTAGAGTTCACTTTTCGTATGGTTTACTACATATATATATATATATATATGAAAAAGAAAAAAAGGTTACACTGTCCGTGTGATTATCCTAATAATCAAATCGCAAAATCAATGTGATCAAAATTAAAATAGTATTACAAAATCTTTAAAATTAAGTAACCTAATTTACAAGGGAATTCGCAACACTCAGATGTATAAAGGACGCGTTAGTTTCCAGTATTTATCAAAAAAAGCAGAGGGTTACGCAAATACTAACAAGCACTTCCTCCTTGATTGGGAAATCTTTGTTACTTTTAAACTTTTATCATCAACTATCTTACAAAAGTATGTTCAACGTTTTAAAGTTAATAAGGAACAAATTTTGGACTAACTATGTACGTCTTAATCAAAACCACCACTGATCGAATCACATTCAATATCTTTCTCTTCCCAAAAAGTGAAGGCAAATAATCTTAGCCTGTAAGAATTCAAACTCTCAATCATTCTTATATCAACACTACATACATAGTCACTGCCCATACGCAGCGAAACCACACACACACCTTTCTGAGATCACTTGGACATGGAAGCAACAACAATGCATGCAACTTCATTTGAGTTCCAAATTGCTTCATTGTTCCATTAGAGATTTCTTGCTATGGGTCTCACTGTTCCCTAACATATGGACTATAAATTAAATTAATAATTCTGTGGAACCACCAGAGGAAGTGTGACATCTAGTGCTGGAGATGCATTATTGGAAAAGTGAGAACCCATTTAAAAGAGCCCATCAGCTGACCAATAATTAATTACTCTCTCTCTCTCTCTCTCTCTCTCTCTCTCTCTCTCTCTCCTCTCTCTCTCTCTCTCGGTTGAATTTAACATAATCCTTTCTAGCTTTCATGATGACCCAGGGTTTTTATTTCCCATTTTGTTAAGAATAAAAGAGAGTAGAAATATAAAAATACACACAATATGGACTCAAATCAAACTTACTAAAATCAAGGAAATGAATTCCAACTCAACCAAATACACACTTGTGTTATGTTCCTGCACGCTTAAGCATATATATAATACATATAATATTAATATACATAAGATATACATAAAAAAATAATTTCGAAACTCCTAAAAAATTAGAGACCCTATGTGGTGATACCACTTGCACATCCTCAGGGCCACCCTTGTGAGGACCCCATATTTTGCTTTTGCTTAATACTTATTCTATTTTTTATTTGGATCCTTATAAAAAAAAAAAAAAAAAAAAAAAAAAAAAAAACATGCTGCTGCCCCCCCGCCCCAGATGCTCTTTATTATTGAACCACTGCAATTTGCGACATATATTTTTATGCCTTTTTTGCAAAAGATGGGTTTGACCAATGGGCTTAGCTATCAACGCATCCACAGTAGACGCATGATCAGTTTTATGCACATTGTTGATGATGAGGAAACTAACCAATTAGGATTTGTCTGCAATAATGTCAGTTGTGTTGGCTCGATGCTGGCTGCAATTTGCAAATCAAAATGAAAATTTTGATACATGAAAAGAAGTCTGGCTCCCACCATGATGAGACAGTCGCGATCTTAATATTAAATCTTTTTCATTGAAGAAAACATGCTTTGATGAACTAAAAGTGTGTTGGGTAAAGGCAAAAAGCTCACTCCTTTTGCCATTTAACTCATTGAGGTCTACAGACGAACACCTGGTGTGCAATTCTAGACTTGTGGTACATCGAAGCCCATGGGCCAAGACAAGTAAGTATATTGGAAAAAGCCCAAAATTCCTAGATCTTTGGGTTAATGCAATCCCATTTAGTCTAAACAAGAACCCAAAAGACCTGCGAAGCCCAATCGAACTGGGTTGCCCAATATGAAAGTGAAAGCCCAGCTATATGATGTCGCTGGGTCAAAGAAAGGGCACTATCGACATTATGCATTGAGAAACGGGCCAACAAAAGCTGAGTCATTGACAGCTTCGTTTTGTAGCAGTAACCTAAACGGGTGATAAAACGCGGGGCGTGTTTGGTTTGGTTAATTGTGTGAACTTTTCTATTTCATTTTTCTGAATAATATTGTTGCTGGTAATTGGGTTGCTAAATTTGCAGCAGGTAATTGTTTTGGGCAATTTTTTTTTTCCTTTTTCTTTGTTTTCTGGTAATTGGTTCAGGCCTCACATCTTTTTAAGATTATGCTCTTCTTTTTAACTTTCATGTTAGGTTTCTCATGTTTTCATCTTCTCCCCTGTACACTCTTATGATGTTATAATAAAATATTTTTTTGAAACTATAAAAAATAAGACATTTGCAGCAGGTAATGCAGATTTTGGAATGTAGTTCATCCTCTTTGCGTTTCGAAGAAAAATCACAAATCACAAACCCATTCCAGATTTCATCATGCAAGACTGCAAGTGAAACAAAAAACTAATTTCAAAGCAAAATCCAAACAGCTCCTTGTTCCGTTAGCCATTAAGTAGCGACAAAATAATAAAATGCATAGCACAAAGAAGTTCGAATACGACCAATTCCAACTTCTCCAAAAACAAAGTAACCTATCATCACACACCATGTGGCAAAAGCCAACTGGGGCTGCTCCTCTCTCTCTCTCTCTCTGTGTGGTTGGTATCTGCATACCATATGCCTAACATTGTACACACTGATTTTGACAAAATGGCTTTGGTTTCTTCCAGCTGTTCTTGATCTCTAAATCAGCCAATTGCCAAATTTCCAATCTTTCCAAGACCCAAAGAAACCCAACATCACAAAAGGCAGTTATTAACAGTTACCCAATTCACAGAAAACATAGAAAGCTCAAGATTTGCTGCCAATTTTCTCTCTCTAGAAAACTCCCCTGAAAAAGCAAAATGCCATCCCAACAAATTCTACCCATAACATACCATCCACCTTCAGTCTTCTCAAGCTCATCTTCTCCCACAGAAAAACAGCTACTCAAAGATGCAGAGGATGACCCAACAACTAGGCTTCTCCTCTTTTCACATTTTGAAGAAGAAGATGAAGAAAAGGGCACCCCCATAATAAAGCCCCTTCTCCCTAGGGCCTCAAGTTACATTACCACCACCACTAATGGTGCCAACAAGCACCAGCAGAGGCGGCGCCGGACCGCCAGCGATAGCTCCCTCTCTTCGCTCTCCGATGATAGCCGCAACAATTCCTTGGGCCGCGAGGTGGAGCACGCTGCCGCCGAGACGTTCTTGGTGACCCGGCTTAAGTTTGAAGCTATTGGAGATATCTTGCAGGTACGTTTCTTTTGTTTTTTTTTTTTTTTTTTTTTTTTTTTTTTTTTTTTTAAATAAAAAAAATTGGTTGTTGTTTTTTGATTTGACACTTGCTCTGTTTTGGGATACCCATTTTGTGATTTCGATTATTTGCAAACTGAGTAAAACTGGATTGCAAATAGTGCTGTCTATCAATGGTTGTATGCTTGGATTGGAATCAAGGACTTCACTTTCAGAGTGAGAGCTATTTGACTATCATTTGAGACTAATAATATTGAACAATGAGTTAGAACTGTCTAATGAGATCTCTGGAAAGTGAGATTGAGGAAAATCTGACCTTCGGCTTGAACATGTGTGAAATAGTCTATGGATCACACAAAAACAAAAGATATTGCCTTGTGAGCTCTGTAAGTGGAACATGACTGTTGGAAATAACATTGATAAAAGAAGATACATAACCTAAAATAAGCAAAATGGAAACGGCTTCTACCGGTTGGAAACTTGGAATTACTTAAAATGGAACGTAATCTATTAAAATTCATCATCCTGAAGTTTACACATTAGAAAGAGAGAAAACTTGTTTTTAGAGGGCACTCTTATGTTTTATATTATTTATGTTACATGGATTCATGATCTTTGAGATCTTTATCAAGCATTTCTCTATTATTTGATGCTTCCTGATTGTATATTTTTGTTCAGGGTAGGCTACAGATGGATTACAAGATTTCTTGCCCTTGGTTGTTATTCATTTTTACTCATGCCAGGATTTATTCAAGGTTTGTAACATTCATATGGGGCCATCTTAAAATTATCTTGCATGTATGCCTCACCTCTTACATACCTTTTACGCATTATAGTTTTTTTGTCCACTTCGGATATTAAATTTTGTACACCATTATCATGGCCATGAGATAGGATTCACAAATTATCATCCAAGGGAGGATGACTAGACTAGTCTACCTGTCTTTTGCAGTTGGCTATTATTATTTCTTCTCCAGTCGGGTTCGCAGAGGTATAGTTTATGGCGATCAACCAAGAAATAGGATATGGATTTTTTTTTTTTTTTTTTTTTTTTTTTTTTTTTTTTTTTTTAGTATATATTTAATATTCATTGGTTTTGCAGCATTAATAGCTGATACTTTGTTCTGCAGGCTAGATCTGTATTTACCCAAAAATACCGACGGGCCAAAGCCAGTCATTGCATTTGTAACTGGTGGAGCCTGGATTATTGGGTGAGTGATGTTACTCCGTGGCAGCCTATTTTGAATAATTCTATGAAGGGTCTAGCTAGCAGTAGCTTACATTACTGTTGGTTTCCGGGATGTAAATTTTAAGCAGTGGAGCTGAGACTGAGGTCACTTTTATTGGTACCATGATTCCTAATGCTTGAGTTGTATTCAGCGTGTCATAGTTTGCTTTGTTTGTTCATTTTGATCACAGTTGCCTTTTTCTTGCAACATTTTCCTGCTTATTTATTCTTAATATGTTTTTAGTTTTCTGTTGATGCAGTTACAAAGCATGGGGGTCTCTTTTAGGACAACAGTTATCAGAAAGAGACATCATAGTGGCATGCATAGATTACAGGTGGCTTTTTTACCTTAAAGCAAGCACATACTACAAATGATAGGTGCCATATGTCCAAATGAAACTCTATTCTTCTGAAGGAACTTTATGAATATATGGAGATTTGAGTCTCTCTGATACACAACCTCTGTTATCTATGAAAAGGAATTAATATAATCTAATCCTTAGCTACCCGATTTTAGACATTATCTTGATATGATTTCTTCATGCAGAAATTTTCCTCAGGGTACTATCAGTGATATGGTAAAGGATGCTTCTCAAGGAATCTCATTTGTGTGCAATCATATTGCTGATTATGGAGGTGATCCTAATAGGTAATGGAATCTTTTGTTCTAAATTTCAGTCATGGAGGGTTTTTTTTGTTCTATAATTTGGTTTAGTCGTGGAGATAATCCTAGTAACTAAAGTTGGCATTTTTCCTGCTATGTTTGTGCAGGATCTATCTAATGGGACAATCAGCTGGTGCACATATTGGTGCATGCGCACTCATTGACCAGGCAATCAAGGAGGCTGGTGAAGGAGAGAGCACTTCTTGGAGTGTTTCCCAGATAAAGGCTTACTTTGGTCTATCTGGAGGGTAAATGTCAAAATTCATCTGAAATCTGTTGCCCTCTTCTCTGTTATAGTGAACCATATTAGATGAGAGTATGCCACCAGTGAACAGGCAAATGCATTCTAATGTAACTGACCCAAAGCTGTAGGAGGCCGAACCAGATAGTTACGTCTTTAATTTGAATATGTTAGTGGGTAATGCAGGTTGTAGTGCTTGTACGGCATACACATGTTCCTGACCAAATTCTTAGATCACCTTTTGCTTCTGAACTGATAAAAAGCATACTTGTATTCTATAATTGTATTTGCTTCAGTGTAGTCTCCGGACTTGATAGTACAACTATGGTCTAATAAATCATACTTGTTTTTTTTCTTCATCCACAATCCCATTCTTTCTGATTGCACCTGCTGCTCTTTTCATGTTTTTTTTTGGTAAGTTATGAATTTTCTTTTTGCACTTAAGGTTCTCATTCTGACATGCTCAAACAGGTACAATTTGCTTAACTTAGTGGATCACTTCCACCGTCGAGGTTTATACCGTTCAATCTTTTTAGGGTAAGGACCTTCTTGGTCTCCTAGAAAGTTGACTGTACATATACTCTTCTAGTGCCATATTGTTTGTTAGAATGCATTTGATTTTTATGACTTCAAAACCTTTTTCAGCATAATGGAAGGGGAGCAATCATTGCAACGTTTTTCTCCAGAACTCATGATTCAGGACCTGAACATTAGACATGCTGCTTCTCTCCTACCTCCAATTATTTTATTTCATGGTACAGCAGATTATTCCATACCATCAGATGCCAGGTATAAGTTTCCTCTTAAATGAATTATTTGATCGCCTATAGTTCTTTCTCAATGTTCTTTCTCAATTGTAATAATGTGAACCCCTTCTTTAGAAATCTTACAACTGAGTATTTCATTGTTGCATTACTTAATGTAACTATTAGAGTCAAAATATACTATTCAGACATAAGGTTATCCTTTAAATCTTATAGGTTACGATTACAAGTCTACAGGTGTTGACTAACATGTTCCCTTGTGCAGCAAGAATTTTGCAGAAACTCTTCAGAGACTTGGAGTGAAAGCTAAATCGATTCTTTATGAAGGGAAGACTCACACGGATTTGTTTCTTCAGGTAAGGGATCACTAAAGATGGTTCCTTTTTGTTTTAACATTGGGGTTGTGGAGTTTGTGGTTGTAGTTAAGAAAAATGCTCCACTCAACTGTACATTTTCTGCAGACTAGCTCTTAGTTGCTTTTTGGTTTCTTAAATCTAGAATCTCCATCAACGGCACAACCATTTATTTTCATTCATTAAAAAGGTGAAATGCTCCAATGCTTTGTTTCTCTTGCATCTTCAAGTACTGGTCTGGGATTTATTCTTTCCTGCAAGAACCTTACAAAGCAAACTTGCCACTCTTCGATATTTATAAATATTTTCACTTCTTTTTTAATCAAGAGATTACTTCTCCGTTTTCGGATATTGGAAGTACTAACATGGCCTATCAAAAGATCCTACCTTTTAAATTCCCCCCTCCCCAAGACGGAAAAGAACACCCTAGAAAGAAAGAGTTTCTTATACTAAATCTATTTGGTGGATGTGTTATTCAGGATCCAATGCGAGGTGGTAAAGACGACATGTTTGAAGATTTAGTAGCTATCATTCATGAAGGTGATTCAGAGGCTCTTGCCAAAGACGCAGTGGCTCCGCCAAGAAAACGTCTTGTACCTGAGTTCATGTTGAAGTTGGCTCACCGTGTTAGCCCATTTTAGCCATTTTGTCAATCAGTTATCAGCCCCTTGAGTTTCTTGGTGATTTACTCTATTTATTTTGTACATATCATTAATGACAGTTGAAGTGTTTACCCCTTATTTTTTGGGTAACCTTCAGATTTACCCTCTTCTCTTGTCCCTATAATGTCTGAAAGATTCTGAAAACATGTATAATCGTTTAGGATGATATGTAATGATATTGACGACCTTAAGGGGATATTTGTAATCATAAACCCAGATTATTTTACATTGCGAACTAGAAAAATGAAGCACTTTTGGCTAATCTGTGACAAGGTGAACCCGTCTTGCAGTGTAACATTTGAGGACCGTAGCTAAAGACATTTTTATTTCATTAGGGCGTGGCTTTACATGGATGAGATCAAAGTTGCCATGCTTGCACTCATTGATTACAAAATCCAAAAACACAATATTAGGAGACAATACGGAATGAAATCGTTTCTTTCTTATAAGCGCTAATCAGCACTTCGGTCAGTTCTTGGCTGCAGCTTTGCCACCTTTACCCTGTACAATCATCATCAGTTTGTAAAGTGAAACCAAATAATGAAATAATAAAGAAAAAAAAAAAAAAAAAAAAAACACATCATACCTTCTTCTTGGGTGCCTGAGGCTTTGATGCAGCCTTCTTTGGGGCTGCCTTCGATGCTGGAGCTTTGGCTCCGCCATCACTGGCCTTGGAAATGGCAGGTTCTTTCTTGGCCTGCCCAAATAGTTGAGTGCCAACTTGCTTTTCAGCCTTCAATGATGCCATGTATAGTTCTCTAAGAAACTCTTTCACAAAGATATGAAACTTGACGTACGTACGTTTATCTTAACTTGATGGCCTCAACTCAACTGCCTGATCCTGCCCTTTTTATAAGAGCAGTTCCCAACTGCGAAAAGGAATTAGAATAACAAGTTAAGATAAAAGGTGACGATTAAAGGGATGGTGGTGTTTGAGGAGAATGGAATATAACTGGCTGGTATTGGCAAAATGGCAGAGCTCTGTTGGCATCAGATGCTTTTGCTTACTTACTGCTTACCGATATATATTATACTGAAATTGTTAGAAATCAATCTCTCAGCATTTGGTCATTGGTGTGAATAACTGAATATATGACTTTTGAAGGAACAATATGCGATCATGAAAATAATTATATGATTCCTTTCGGACATATTTGCATGGTTCTTGGACTTTGGGGTCTTCTAGAACATCATTATATATACTTATAGCAAGTGGATATGGAAGTGAAAATCAATAATGTTAGGACTCAAGATCCCACGTTGGAACCTAGAGTGGTTTAAGAGCTCATAAGCACCCTTTTCTTACAAGCCGGTTTTTAAGGGCAAGTTCTATCTACTCATGAGTTCTTAACAATTAGTATCAGAGCCAGGTTTCACCACGCATCTGGGCCCAAATCCACGAAAGCATCTAAACCAAAATTTGGTTTTAAACAGGAAAAATTAATAGGATCGTTTGCTTCTACACTAAACTGTGAATATTTTAACAACATTTTGAAGACTAGGGTTTGAATCTTTTGTTTGATCTTTAGGACAGAGTCAAAGAAACCCACTTTAATGGAGAAGGGTCTTCCTCTTTGTGGATCAAATTCAAACATCACATCCATTGGCAAAATAAAAAAACCTGAGGTGGGTTTTGAGAACTTGAACTGGGTAGTCTTAGCTAAGAATTTCTCAATTTCATTTTTGCCAAGCCTATGACAAAACAACAATTAAAGTTGGTTCAACAAAGCGTGGTTCTACTTGATTTTATCAGACAAGAGGTATTTGCGAAGGATCTTTAGCCAATTAGACAACAGCCCACCTTAGTACAAATCTGCTTTCTATCTCACTTAATCAGATTCTCTTGAGCCTTATTTCACATTAGAATATAACGAATAGATCAATCTTTCCCAAGTTTTTACTTTCAATATATATGACTTCAATTCTGAGCTTCTTTCTTATTAATTAGTCATCCTCGTTATAACTTGTAACACAACAATCAAACCCCTTTGCAGTTTGCCCCAACAAAGTTCAGGTTTTGATATGTTTTTCTGTCCTTCAATCAAGCCTCGTTACCCTGCTCCGTCATGATCAAGTTTTTCAAGTTCACTTAAAATTAGAAAGAAAATGGAAGATGTTCTGTAGAGGTTTGATGGTGAAAATACCACATATACAGAACCTCTGCCTGCCTATTTTTTTTTTCACATAAACACTTGAACTTCGAAATATCCTGCACTTGTTTGCTCGTCCATGATTCTGATTTATTAACACCTCTTTTATTCAATGTTTGGGTACATATATTGCATCTAGTTTAAGCAAATGCCAAGCAAGGACCAGTTCGTTTTAAAATATAGGTATCTTTTATATTCATTACGCCAAGCCTAATAAGAGAGAAACATGGACATAAATCACAACCAAGATTTCTGGTTATGATGTTATAATACATAGGGAGGAACTGCGGTGATTTAGCATATTCATCTACTCTACACCTCTGGCCGTTCATCTAATTCTTGGCTGCAGGCTTGCTTCCCGTTGTCTAATAAAAGAGTCATAAAAAGTTTGTAAGCACATAATTAATGCCTCATGGATGAGATCATAGTTCCCATGCTTGCATAAAAAGATTGTCTAAATCACTCATTGCTTGCACTCATACTTTCCATTATGAGACAATAAGAAATGAAATCGTTATTTTTTATATGCTTTTTGTTTTTGTCTCTTGTACTATATGAGGTTTGGTCCAGTAGAAAATGGTCTTGACTTGCAGACCATTGGTCTCAAGTTTGAACCCCGCAAGACACATTGGTTGTGTGTGTGTGAGAAACCTCATTCCCCTTGTAGTTTAGGCTATCATTCGTATATTTTTTTTTTAAAACAATAATCAGAAATTTGGTTAGTTCTTGGCTGCCGCTTTGCCACCTAAACCCTGTACAGTCATCATTGGTTTGTTAATGAAACCAAATTTTTTTAATACAAACAATAGTTAAAATTAATCTAAAGGGGATTCAAACTTGGATGCGAATGGAGTGGGCATACTACCTTGGCCAACTGGCTTATCCCACATCTGCTAATGAAACCAAATTAATTAACATAAAGCATGAAGACAAACCAAATCATACATTTAACTGATAGGCCAAGAAGATGACCCGAATGTGGATATATATGTACCTTTTTCTTGGGTGCCTGAGGCTTTGGTGCAGCCTTCTTTGGGGCTGCCTTAGATGCTGGAGCTTTGGCTCCACCATCACTGGCCTTGGGTTCTTTCTTGGCCTGCCCAAACTGTTGAGTGCCAACTTGCTTTATTTCAGCCTTCATTGATGCCACGTATAGTTCTCTAAGAAACTCTTTCACAATGATATATGAAAAATCTAACGTAGGTATTAACTCGATGGCCTCAACTCAACTGCTCGCTCCTTCTGAGCCTACCCTTCTATTATAACAGCAATTCCTCACCGTGGAAAAATAATTAGAATAACAAGTTAAGATAAAAGGTGACAACTAAAAGGATGGTACGTAGTGTTTGAGGAGAATGGAGTAACTTGTATTGGCAAAATGGCAGAGCTGCACTGCACTTGAAGGCTGTTGGCATCAGATGCTTTTTCTTACTTATTGCTTACCCTGTTATCTGAAATTGTTAGAAATCAATCTTCGCATTTGGTAATTGGTGTGAATAACTGAATATACGACGTTTTAAAGGAACAATTTATGCGATCATGGAAATAATTAATTATATGATTCCTTTCGGACATAATTGCATGGTTCTTGGACTTTGGGGGTCTTCTAGAGCATTGAAAAGAACCGAGCGGCTCACGCTGCGGCTTCGTTTGGTATAGGAGCGGTGCATAGGTTTACCTGGCTGGATCAGCTACCACCGTCCCTTATGGGTGTTTTAACCTCTGATGGGCTTCCTTGCCCCACTGTTATTTAATATTTTGTTTTGCTGGGTTAGGTTTCCTGCACTATGCTGTGTCTAGCATGTGCTCCTTTCCCAGCTTTTGCTTATCTTGTATCCTCCTTTTGGTTCCCCTGTGTGGGGTTCATGAAGTATCTTTATGATCCCCACAAAAACAAAAAAAAAAAAAAAAAAAAAAAAAAAAAACCACAATCCATATTGAAAGATCTAATGCGAATTTGGTTAACGTAACGTTATAAGATGCAATTCGTTGAAGACTAGGGGTTTGAATCTTTACTTTGATCTTTGGGACAGTGTCAAAGAAACCCACTTGAGGGTCTTCTTTCAAGGATTATTCTTACTAAATATCATTCAGATTGAAACTTGTTTGGTAATTTAAAATGTGCAAAAAATGCAACTCGTTGGATAAAACTGAAACGAAAATGTGGAAAATCCGATGGCTAAACAATTCCTGATTTAGCTGAATTTTGCATGGATAATATCATTCTTACTATAGAAAGCATATATATATGTGTGTGTGTGTGTGCATATGTTTGAAATAAATGTGGGCAATGGCATTGTTGCAAGTTGCAACAGTTTCCCATATTCTCTAAGTGCCGGAGCAAGATGCATCTTCATTTTCAAACTGTGTTAATTTCATCTTTCTGGCCGTGTATGAAGGAGAGGAAGGTCCTCGTACGTTCTTCTTCTTTTCTGTTTTGTAGTCTGCATTAATTTTTAACTTCGGGGGTCTCATAGCATATTTTTAGCCTATAAATTCCCATTTTTAAATACAGATGGTCTAGATTAGAAAACTAAGAGGCGCACCAGGGGATCAGGATCCTAGGACTAGTCTGCCGTATCGTACGAGTTTGGAAAAGTTGAGCACTCTTGAGTACTGGTCAGTCTAGCTAGGAATTTCTCAACTTCATTTCTGCCAAGCCTATGAACAAACAGCAAATTAAACTTTGTTCAACAAAGCGTGGTTCTACTTTGATTTTATCAGACAAAAGGTATCTGGGAAGGATCTTTAGCCAATTAGACAACAGCCCACCTTAGTATAAACCTGCTTTTTATCTCACTTTATTTTATCAGATTCTCCTTAGCCTTATTCCACATTAGAATAGAACGAATAGATCAAAATTTCCCAAGTCTTTACTTTCAGTATGACTTCAATCCTGAACATTTTTCTTATTAATTAGTCATCCTTGTTTTAAATTGTAATCAATCAAACCCCTTGCAGTTTGCAACTGTCATGACCAAGTTTTTCGAGTTCATATGGTTAAGCATTTGAACTTTCTAAGCCAATGGCAAGCAAGGACCAGTTCCTTTTAAAATATAGGTATCTTTTTATTCATTACGCCAAGCCTAAAACGAGAGACATGTACATATATCACAACCAAGTGTGCGGTTATGTTATTATAAAACATAGGGAGGACCGCGGTGATTTAGCATCTTCATGTACTCCACACCTTGCGCCGTTGGTTTTCATCTAATTCTTGGTTGCAGGCTTGCTTCCCGTTGTCTAAGAAAACAGTCATAATAAAAAGCTTGTAAGCACATAATCAATGCCCCATAAGTGTTAGAAGATTCTATGTAGGAACAAACTTAAGAAATAAATGGAGAATAAGTGCTTATAATTCAATAGCATGATGGGGTATGTAGGCTTGCTTGCTTACCTTCTTCTTAGGCTCCCTAGGCTTTGGCTCAGCCTTCTTAGGGGCTGGTTTGGAGGCCGGAGCTTTGGGCGTGGTGCCACTAGCTTTGGGAGCAGGTTCTTTCTTGGCCTGCCCTGCAGAGGGTTGAGTGCCAACAGGTTTCTCAACCTTGAGTGATGCCATTTTCTGTTTGTTAAGCTCACACACAAAAGTGTTTGTTTGCTTCCTGTCTGGCTTCAATTGTTAGCTCTACTATGATACAGCCATTTTATAGTTGAGGTTCATAATTGTGACCCGGAATCAGAATCCTACTTGCAGAAGATATATGGTGAATAGAGATGTGATTGCACATGAGCAGATGGAATAAAATGGTCTGGTGTCCCGTCGGGAGATGCCGTTGAATCAGATGCTTAATCAAGACATATTGAAATTGACATCATTCGATGCGTATTCTAGGGTGCGCATTGGTATACAATTGATTTAAATGCATAAAGCTATAGAGAAGTACATTCACTTTCTGTACTAAAGATATTATGTAGATATCAATCCATTGTGGACTAAGATTTTACTATTTTCCAGATATTCCATTAAAATTTCCCTAAAACCTGACCTCATGTCATTTTGCAGTCTAACATGCATCTCCCTCGTTTGAAATTTTTGTAAAATTTGCAATTCAGGAGTACGAAGGTTAAGTGTATACATTTGTAGTTTTAAGGAAAATATGAAGCACAACAGAACCTTTTATACAGCATGAAATAAGTAAAATTTTGGTTGGAACACCATATTGCAGTAGTGCAGAACTTTTTACTGCATCAAAGTGATAACTTATGAAATTTGATAAACTGTTAAAACATCATTGCTTGGTTACTTCATCTAAACAAGCCCAAGTGGTTCAGGAAATTCTTTCTATTTATTTCACAGTTCTGTTGTTCAAGTTATAATGGAATAAGAGTTGTCATCAGCAAATTGAATTGCAATTTTGTTTACAAACCTACAATTAATAATATCATATCAATTTCCATGTAAAGGAGTACAATTGAGATTTCTCCAGCCAGCATGAAAGCCAGATTCACAATATCAGTTGGAAACCGTATGATTATTTTGATAAAATTGGAGATCGAAGAGTACGTCATCAAATTCTCTAGCTGCAGGGGTGCATGTCAGTTTCTGATCTATCACCGTCAAGATTCAAGAAGTCAGTGAGGTTGCCCCATCCTTAGAGCCACATAAGCCAAAACCCTATATCCCACCAACATCACAGCCAAAGCAGCTACATCTGACCACATGCTATCAAGTCCCAGATACTTGATAGCAGGAAAGTCCATGACACTACAATGCATCCCCATCTCACACTCATAAACTTCATTTGCTGAGTACTGAACTCCCACAAGAAGCTTGTAACAGTAATGGCTGAAGGAAATGTACTTCAACCAAGCAATGAAAGATGGGATGTGCTGGATGTAATATCCACCTGCTAGTAAAAACACCAGCATGGTCACAGAAGCCAGAGTGGTGCCCTGCTTCACATCCATAAGAATGGCCCCAAGTGCTAGCCCCAGGCCTTGGGAGACTAGAACGTTATAAAGAACAATGGAAAGGGTTAGTGCAAATGTGACAAATGAAGGCTTGAGACCCCCCATCCAATAGCTTACTGTCACAAACACTGTTGGGAGCACAAGCTCCATTGGCAAATCACCAACCGTTCGGGCAAAGTAGTAGGAAGAGAGACGGTACATGCCTGAAGAGCGTTCTTTTACTAGCATTGGCCTTTCCATGGGGAATGCAAATATGGCATTGAATAGAGGGAAGAAGCCCCAAAATATGGAGAAGAAGAAAAGAAGTCCCACCTGTTCAAAGTGTAATATTAATTTGCTTAGTGCTTATAGCTATAGTTGATCAAATATTGCTCAATATTATTAAGGCCTGAAAATTATAGATGGGTGGAAATTGCAATACCTGATCTTGTATATGTGAAGTGTCAGAGTGCCACCACAGAAGGCCTGAAAGAAGGGAAACTGACAAGACTTGGAAAATCCTTAAGCCTGAGAAAGATTCATGCTTCCTCTCTTTTAAACCCCTTTCCAGCAAAACCTTAAATTGCTCCCACCAGCTGGTGGTCCATTGGTACTTTCCACTGCCTGCAGATGTACCATGTACAAATGATCAAAACGCAATGCACAACAGCAAAAATCAAACAGCAAGACCTAGAGAGACTTAGTTGGAATTACTTACCTCTAGATGATGGTGTTGTTCTTGAAGGAGCAAGAAATGTGTCTTTATGACTTTGCTGAATCTCTGCCTTCAAGACAGGGTATAGGTTCTTTTTATAGGAAGATATTAGGAACTGCTTGGTTGTGTTTTGATCTTCTTGGTGCTCTAATCTGCCATTATACTCTAGTTGATCATCCTGTTTAGCATCAGGTCCTATACCTGCTTGTCAATCAATTTTCAAGAAATTTAACAAAAAATAAATTGATCATTGATAAAAGAAAATACCATACTCATTGATAAACTAAAGGTAAAGTTGTAAGATTTGGATGGTCCTTGAAACGTAGTACAATTATTGAAGAACAATCACCCTGTAAAGACCAATAAACAGAAAACCATGTATGACCCACTATATTTAATCATCTTGATGGTGAATGGTGATGTAAAGTTCTTGATTTTTTTCCTTTCTTTTGATCCACCACTCCATACTCATATGGAAATGAATTCAGCATCCCATCAGTTTCAGGTGGTTACAAAAATTTGACGGAAGTGAATGAAAGAGATGCAAAGCAGAAAGTTTTTTAGGAGGGGTCAAATCAAATTGTATGAGTCTTTCAATGCATTGGCTTGCACCATATATTGAAAAGCCTAATTCAAGTTGGGTGGGTTTACTAGGTGGAGAGGCATGCAGTAGTCATCCTAGGTGCAAAGTAAACGATCTCGACTACTTGAGTTACAAATCTTTACGTATTAAATTTGTGATTTTTTAGTGTTGGATGAGCTCAAATTTATTAAAATTAGATTTTATCCATTCCATAGCTAAATTAAGAAAAAAAAAAGTTTGGGCTATGGATTGGCACCAAGTCCACACTCCATATTGGCCATGTGAAGTGTTCCTTTCGAAGGCGACTAATAAGAGGGACGTGGTTGCCTTTGCCTCCTCTGTTCTATTCACAAGGCAGTCGGTGCGATCAAACCTTTTTGGACCACTCACACACGCACTACGTAATTATTGTGAAAATCAACCCTTACCTAAGGCAATTAACTGTTAAAAGTTTCTCAATCTAATTACATTGTGAAGTTGACATCCTATCTTTAGCTAATAACTTTGGAACATCTTCACCTAATATATTATCCGATAACATAATATATATATATATAAAGTTTTTTAGCAAAAAAAAGAAAAAAAAACTTTAAAATTACTCTATATCAATTTAATAATACTATTATGCTAGGAAAATAAAAAATTTGGTCAACATTATACTAGAAAATTAAATTACAATTCATAATTATAAGTAAATATGCCTATTTATTTGCCACATTTTCGTAATTATAGTGAAACGTAATGAAATTAATAATGATATTAAAATTTAAAGGAAAAAAAAAGCTAATAATGAGAAGAAATTTCATACCGTTGGCAAGATCAAGCAAGAAATCAGCAGGGTTGATGAAGTTGAACCCGGCCTCATATCCAATGGACCCAAAATACTCCATGACCCGACCCGCATGCCCACTATAGATCGGGTACCCGTCCGACAAAACCACCACCTTATCAAACATCCGATACAGCCTGCTGGACGGCTGATGAATGGTGGTGATCACCGTCCGGCCACCACGGGCCAGCTGCCGCAGTGTAGCAACGATACGCTGCGCGGTGGTGGAGTCGAGCCCAGAAGTGGGCTCGTCGAGCAACAAAAGGCTCGGGTTAACCAGCATCTCTTGCCCGATACTGACCCGTTTGCGCTCACCACCCGAAACGCCACGTAACAAAGGCCCACCAACTATACTATCACGGCACCGGGTCAACCCGAGCTCCATGATCACCATCTCAGCTTGCTCCATTTTCTCTTCCTTAGTGAGCTGCTTGGGCAGCCTTAGCAAGGCAGTGTAGGTGAGGGTCTCGAGAACAGTGAGGTGAGGGTACAAGACGTCGTCTTGTGTGACGAAGCCGGTGTTGTGCTTCATGGAGCTTGAAAAATGCTGGCCATTGTAGGTTATCTTGCCGGAGATTTTACCCGGCAAGCGGCCGCTGAGGGCGGTCAAGAGGGTGGTCTTGCCACTGCCCGATGGCCCCAACATTGCGAGTACCTCACCGGGTCGAACGATCCCACTCACTCCATTGAGTATAGTGCGTGTTTGCTTTGGCTCATGTGAAGCTACCCAACCTCCCTTTGTGGTTTGCAGCTTAATACTGTAAGTGACATCTTCAAACTGCACCATCAAAATACATACAAACAAATGTTAGCTTAATGTATCTACATTATTATGAAAGTCCGATAAAAAATTTATCAGATGATTTAACATATTATGTTGCGCGATATGTAAACCTGAATTATTATAACATGTCAAATATCTGGCAACATAAAAATTTGGTTTGGTAATTGCCTTGAGTGTGACAGGGCGCAAGGATCGGCGCAAAATGGAAGTTCTATGTGAGGTGGGTCGGTCAGCTGGCATGTCATCACCCAAACATGGGCTGACATTACTGCTTGGAGGAGCAGACCGTTCAGCATGAACCGAACCGTTCTGGTCGGGCCGGTTCAGATTAGAGAGTAAAATGTTAGCTGGAGTGTTTGTCATGCTGGTTTCTTGCTCAGGAGGTATCATAATTTCAAGGGATATTGCAATAAGATGAGATCAAACAGAGAGGAAAATGGGTTGTGTGCTAGCTAGCTGATCGACCAGCAAGAGAGAGAGAGAGAGAGAGAGAGAGAGAGATAGAGGAGATGAGTGGATGAAGAGAAGAGAGGAGGTTTGGGCGGGGAAGAGAGGAATTAATAGGGGAAGGAAGGAAGGAAGGAAGGTCACATGCAAGAGAAGAAGACATGTGATGAGTTTTATAAAGTGATGAAGGCACGAGAATTTCTTAGGGAGGACTGACTGTCCGTGGTGTGTGGTTATGGTGGCCAAGCCAAGCTTATAGCTAGCTACGGTACTGTTTAGTTGTAGCAGCTAGGCTAGAAAGAGACCAACCG